AGCTAATTTCCTCCTTCATGATGACTGTTCAAGGGTACTTTTTATATACTTCACCCATTTACATTTTATTAAGCCTTAAAGTTATGCATAATTAAGGGTGCGGCCACTTTGAGTGAGGCTCAAAGTCTGCTGACAGTCTGCTCGGTTTCTCAGTCAGATCCACCCTTCGCTCCTCCACAGCTCCAGCCACTCACCCAAATATGGTCACGTGACATCTGACTCCACCGCATTTTTTCATCTCCGTAATATCTCCAGACTCCGCCCCTCCCTTTCTCAGCATTTTACAGAAGTCCTCATCAACGCACTGGTCACCTCTCGTTTGGATTATTGTAACTCCCTTCTCACCGGTCTACCACACAAACTCATTCACAGTTTACAAACCATACAGAACTCTGCTGCTAGAATAATCACTCGCACTAGGTCCTCTGATCACATCACTCCAGTCCTCATCCAGCTCCATTGGCTCCCTGTCCAGCAAAGAATACAATATAAACTCCTCCTGATAACATTCAAAGCCCTCCATAATCTGGCCCCCCCCCTATCTCTCTAACATGCTTCACCCATATATCCCCCCTCGTCCACTCCGTTCTTCATCGGCTGCTCTGCTCACCACACCTCCTTTCAAACTCAGTTCTTTTGGTGCTCGTACTTTTAGCTGCTCAGCTCCCAGACTTTGGAACACTCTCCCACTACACTTCGTAATCTGGACTCAGTTGATACCTTCAAGTCACACCTCAAGACACACCTCTTCAAAACTGCCTACTCCCTTTAATCCAAATAGTTTATCCATCCGTTTAGCCATCTCTATTTGTATGTTCTCTATATTTATTACATGTACATTTATTTTGCTATTTATATGTTCTGCATGTTTGTTATTTGTATATTTATTATTTGCTACTGTACTGTTCTTTTGTTTTCTGTTATTTACTTGTAAGGCGACCTTGAGTGCCTTGAAAGGCGCCAAACAAATAAAATGTATTATTATTATTATTATTATTAAAAACACCAATGAGCCAACTCCACAGTCCACAAACCAATGAGTGACGTCATGGTGGCTACGTCCTTTATTTTTACAGTCTATGAAACACACCTAGAAGACTAGATACAAGGTCAGCAGGCAGAGGATTAAAACATTAAATTAAATTATTCTCATTTTATTTCAAATATATTTATCTTGCAACACCCACAAACCGACCTGCATGTTCTTTTTTCGCCCAGAACTGAATCTGGAAATAAAATTACAACAAAATACCACCAGCAATTCATCTTTTTTTTGCTGATCACCCGATGAAGGACTGTGGCTGGCGGCTAGCAGCTAATGGTGGTAACTCCATAGACAGCCCTAATGGCAACAGCCTCAACAGAGCTAACAGTGTGGGGAACCAAAGGGTTGGTGCTACACTTCCGTGAAGAAACCTTTCTGATATCGTCAGGAACCACTGTATGAGCACAGTGAAAAGTGGTGACAATGTGCCAGCCACCAGGATACACACATGGACTAACATGCACATGCAGCTGGACCGGCTTACCACAACAAATCACAGACTTCATTTTCTGTTCAGGACACCATTACTCCACTATCTTTACATAGAAAAAAGCAGTATGCTGCTATATTAATGCTCTCAATGTCGCATACAGAACCTTTAAAGTCCCCCTCACTGCTGTCTTTTTTCTGTTCATTAAGTGTCCAAACATTTACCAAACCAAAAATTCTTTGTCTGCCATTGGCATTTATCTTTGTCCACACAGTCTTGAGGTGTTTAAGTTCTCATCATGTGGTTCCTCTTTCTGTGCTAATAAAGAATTACCACCAGCAAATGAACGGTATGACTCCCACTCTCTGTTTGAGACGCGCCTGCTTCAGTGCAGCTCTGAGGGGCAATTTGAGCTTCGCAGCATGTGTCATATGTGCCAGAACGGATACTGCAGAGAAAGAGAGGGTGGTGAAAAGAAAAAAAGACACTTTCCCCGCAGATCTAATAATCCACCTCTTTTCCTCATTGCAACATCCTTTTCTCCTCAATTTGTCCCTTCAGTCCTTCTTTTTTTCTTTTGTTATCTCTGATCATTTACCTTCATCTCTGTCTGCTTGCCTTGCTTCTTCTCCTCTCGGGGAATCTAAAAGGTACTTCCACAGCTCCACAGTAAGATCAAGAGGACATACTGTTTTTTCCAAAGCATGATCAAAAGCAGTATTTGTTTGGTAACAAAGCCAAAACCCATTTAATTCCTCATCTATGCTGGCTGCAAGTACAAAAAGAATGATAACATATTTTCATGTTTTGTTCTGGGGGTTAATTAGTAGTATAAACGAGCCCTGGGTCATCCTTTTTGGCTCTGTAATGGAAATCTGACTAATGGGAGATCTGAGGAAACGAGTTGGGCAGCAGAGGAGCATGCTGGGAGAGATTTGCAGCATGGAGTTTAAGCCATGCTGTGAGTAAATCAAACATCCCTTATTACTATCATTATGTGCGCTGCAGGAGATGTCAGCGTGATGTTCACTGTGTGGGAGGTGTGGGAGTGTGTGAGTTTGTCACAGGGATTTAAATGAATATGAATAAACAGATATGAACCGATTATTTGCTCTGAGCAGATACAAATAGCATCCAAATTTTAACATTTTAATTTTTTCAATTTATTTTTTTGCAATTTTCATTCAGTCACCTAATTTTAAAGTGGAGTCAGGACCTCCACCACATAAATGTCCACACATCCATTTAGAAATTACGACTGGGGTTCAACAGTTCTTTCTTACTTTTTAAAAAAGACTCCAGGTGGCTGTGTGAATGAAAACAGCTAGTAGCCAAACTCAGTGGAGACAAATATGGAGGCGTTGATATTTAGTTTAGTTTAGTGAGATTTTTTAGTGAAATTTAGTGAGCTTTGTTCTCAATAGCCTTCAATTCACAACGGATTTGTTGTGCAGCAGTATAAAGTCAATTAATTATTTTAATGCTAGCCATGCTAGCTGAATGGTAGTAGGGAGGACAATGTGGATTGCTCCGTCCAGTGCTTTAGTCCAGGCTGAAATACCCTTACAACTGTTTGATGATTTGCCATGACATTTTACACAAAGGAGGAGATTCTTTGGCTTTTAGTCAACAACTATCAAATGGATACCAAGATATTTGGTGCAGATACAGATGGTGCCAAGAAGATGAACTCTGGCAAAATGCAGCACAAACATTTCCCTTATCAAACTTCAACCCACCTTCATTTTCCTTAGGACCAATTCTCATTATATATACACAACTAACTTTTGAAGAAACATAATATGGCCCAGTGCAATTCTGATATGTATTTTCCCAATGTTAAAACCTCCTTTTCTATTTCTACTATATATTTCCACCGAGCAGCAACCTCCAGGGCCGTAGAATTAAGCCAACACAGAAGTCCCAAAAACTGCAGTTCCTCTAATGGCCACTTGAGGCTGGCTCCAAAATTGAGTCAGTCCCCACAGACCCCCATGGTAAAATGCCTGATTTTATAGGAGAAATAAATAGAGCTAATTTCCTCCTTCATGACAACTGTACGTGCCCAGTCTCACTCTAAAGTCTTCGAAATCTGGCACTTGGGCAGTGACCTTCAGCATCAGAAACCAACGAAAAAAGGCATCCTTTATCGTCAGCATGATATGTGGCTGGTTGCTGTTGTAGTTTACCTTCGCCTGGCAGCATCAGGGGGAAACGCAGCAGGACAAGGACGAAAGTTAAGGTGGCAAAAGTCCCAGTGGGGCAGGCAGGAGGGGCGGAATTTTACCCAGTGGTGTTCACGTCCAAACCATGTTCTTTTTTCCTAAATCTAGCCATGTGTTTGTTGTTGAAGGAAAAGAAAGTCAATTTGCGGTGTTGTACCGACGTACTGTGTTTATTTTGAAAGAGACAGTATGTAAACGTTAAATTTGTGTCTTGACAGAAGAGAACTTGACACGGTGTCCCAGAACAACCAATGCACCCAGGGTACCTTGCACGTCATATGTGGATGTGGAAAGTCAATGACCAAAACGTCAATATTTGTCGGAGTGAGAATGTTTTGACTGTACAGTAGGGTGGGGTTTAGTGGGGGCTAAACCTGTTTAAATTTCATTAAGGCTTAAAGTTATGCATATTTAAGGGCATGCCCAATTTGGGTGATAGTTGAGTGCCGTCTGTTGACAAGTAGCTACCACGGTGACAACATTGGTGAGGTAACACAGCATTGACGTTATCCCAGATTCACAGATCATAAGCATATAGCTATAGCTGTCGCTATTTCAGTTTGTCTTCAGTTAATTTCAACATTTAGGCCTAAAAAAAGTCTTGATTAGTGTTTGGTTATACTAAAAGACCCTCTAAGGAGTCAGAAATATAGTTTAGTTTCAGTAACGTAAGCATTATCACAGTTAACTATAGCTGTAAATGCACCATGCTGACTAAGCTAGCCGCTAGTATAAGGGTTATCTCCACCCTATTGTCCAAATATGGTCACTTTGCATCATCTCTGGCTCCAAAAATCAAAGATGGGGACGGCAAAAAATGACAGTCACGAGGCTTCAAATGGTAGTCCACAAACCAATGGGTGACGTCACAACGGCTACATCCATTATTTCATACAGTCTGTGATCACCTGGACCATTAACACTTACACTGCTTTTATTTTCACACAGTGTGGATTATTTTTTTTTATAAAGGTAGGGGTCAATTATGCTTTATTATGTTAATAATTCAGGTACATGCTTAAAATTTTATGTTACTTACTGCATATTTTGTGAGCAGCGTAACTTATGCATACACATAAGGGGATATCTCATCAATAGAAAACAATGTTACATAGAAAGTGAAGCTGTCAGTGTTTCAAATACAGGTACACTGGAGGATTATCATCCAGGCACATAACTGAACACAGATATGAAAACAATATTACAAACACTGTGGAAGCTTTGTGATACACTGCTAGTGTGTTATGTTGAGAGAAGCAGGTTTATCTTTTCAATGATTGCTTCATCTCTATCATCTTACCTTCTTTGTTTTGTCCATCGCCTTCAGTATGGACATGTTCAGGTCTTCTAAGGCACCGAGAACATTCTCATATTCACCGAGGTGCTGGGAGAAATACTCTTCAGAGCAGAAAGACAAAAAAACAAAGAAACACTGAGTTAAAAAGCTAAGACAGGGCTGTAGGTGTTTTGTTAAAGCAGCTCTGTGTGACACCTCAGTCGCACAGCCGGCAGCGGTTTGGTTGTAGAGCATGTGACCACATCTTACACAGTTCTTTTCTTATGCTGGGAAAAATGTCAAATAGCATTTGAGTCTGGGGTGCTCGTGACTGTGAGGCAAAGCAAGATAAAGCCACAACAGTACACAGCTTATTATACAAGCATAATGCATTCAGCTGAGAAAACCTAACACTTAACAATAACCATCATTAAATGCTAAATGGACACTTAACCCTTTGAAATGTGGAGCGACATCACTTTTCTTGTGCTGCTCTAAGACGCCTTTTGCAAGTATTTACACCTTTGACCCCTGAGCAAAAAGTAAATAGCTAGGCAAAAACAATATTTAGAACTATTAATATAATAATTATTTTAATTCTTAAGTACTCTTTTCAGGTCATTTCCTTATTTGTTTGTTTTGAAGCTTTCCTTTCTTTTTTTTAAATAGTGATTTTACTGTTAACAAACCATGAAATGATCATTTATAATGTGTACAAATTATTATTATTGATGCTATAATTAATTGTATTTTAACAGCTTATTGCTGCAAACATCATAACATTTTAAATTCTATATTAAGTATTTGTTGATGGCTATTAAGTGGTTTGTAAACCTCATATAAACATCATTTAGATTATAAAGGAAAAATATATAATAAAAAAAATTATGAAGTTTTAACTGATGATTATATATAATATGTTATTAAATAGTTACTCGTGGTCCCTAAAGTCTCCAAAAGTAGATCAGGAGCCAGAGCCTTCAGCTATCAGGCTCCTCTCCTGTGGAATCATCTTCCTGTTACGGTCCAGGAGGCAGACACCGTCTCCACATTTAAGACTAGACTTAAGACTTTCCTCTTTGATAAAGCTTATAGTTAGGGCTGGCTCAGGCTTGCCCTGTACCAGCCCCAAGTTAGGCTGACTTAGGCCTAGTCTGCCGGAGGACCCCCTATAATACACCGGGCTCCCTCTCTCTCCCTCTCTCTCTCTCTCTCTCTCTCTCTCTCTCATCCTATTACTGCATCTTGCTAACTCGGCCATTCTGGATGTCACTAACTCGGCTTCTTCTCCGGAGCCTTTGTGCTCCACTGTCTCTCAGAATAACTCATACTGCAGCGGTGCCTGGACAGCGTGACGTGTGTGGTTGTGCTGCTGCCGTGGTCCTGCCAGATGCCTCCTGCTGCTGCTGCCATCATTAGTCATTAGTCATACTTCTACTGTTATTATACACATATGACTATTGTCACACAAGTATACTGTCAGATATTAATACATACTTTCAACATATTGTACCACAGTAGCCAGAACTATAACTATAATATTATTACTTTCATTAATGTTGTTGTAACCTACTGTCATTACCTGCATCTCTCTCTCTCTCTCTCTCTCTCTCTCTCTCTCTCTCTGTCTCATTGTGTCACATGGATTACTGTTAATTTATTATGCTGATCTGTTCTGTACGACATCTATTGCACGTCTGTCCGTCCTGGAAGAGGGATCCCTCCTCAGTTGCTCTTCCTGAGGTTTCTACCGTTTTTTTTCCCCGTTAAAGGGTTTTTTTTGGGGGAGTTTTTCCTTATCCGCTGCGAGGGTCTTAAGGACGGAGGGATGTCGTCTGCTGTAAAGCCCTGTGAGGCAAATTGTGATTTGTGATATTGGGCTTTATAAATAAAATTGATTGAAATTGATTGATTAATAGATACTGTGTAGTGCATCTAAATGCAGTTCCACTGCAACTAAATAATAGCCACCAAAATACTGTTTATAGATGCACTACACAGTATTTATTAACCATTATTATAATAATCAGTTGCGACTTTATAATAACCATCTAAATAATATTTATAGCTGTATGTTGTTAGTAAACATTATCAATTATCATTTCATTGCTTGTTAATAGCAAAAGACACATAAACTAATGTTTAATTATCAGTTCACCATTTATTGATGGAAAAAAAATTGCCTGGTTTTTAAAAATTATTATCTTATAACTATGAGGAAAGTTTTCACAGTGAAAAAAAAACTGCTCTTGATCTTTTGAATCAACATGATAATACTCTTGTAAATTCTTGTTTTTCGGAATTAACAAGATTATTATCTTGATAATTCAGAAAACAGAAGGAGAATTTTCCTCCATGATAACTTTTTTCATAATTCTGAAATAATAATTTCATTAAATCAGTAAAACAAAGCAGATTTTTCAGCTTCCATTAGTCATATTAAAAGTAGTTCTCATTTAGGTGAAGGATCAACTTACCACAGAGTTCATCAGTGTCCACATTACTGCAAAACAAAAAAGAGAGAGAGACATTTAAATAAAAAAGAACTCCTGAAAAACAAAAGTTTCCAAGGTTAAAGGAGGTGACAGATAAATCTTTCATCGGTGCAAAAACGTTTCCTGGACAGACTGTGATTTGGTGAATTGGTGTGCGATGACAAATGGAAGAGGGTAAAATACATCAAGAATAATTGAATAATTTAGTTGCTTGTCCTCCCCAGAGATGTGCATTAGAGACCAATGCTCCAGAGTCGCTTAGAGGAAACCCCTCAGAAATTTCTGCTGTTTGTGATAAACATCCATGCACAAGTGTGTTTTGATGAGGTCTGAGTGTGTGTCTGAAAGAGGGAGACAGAAACAGGGAAATAAAGAAAGGAGGTGAAGGTGCAGAGAGTGTTTCAATGTGGGAAATTAGTCATTGAATCCTTTGTTCAGCTTGCTTCAAGAGACATTTTGTTCCTTGTTTCAGTGAAGGTTGCAGGGGAATAACATCCATTTTAATTCTATTCCACACAAGCTGCAGCTGTCATTCACAAGGGGGGGAGTGCCAGAGAAATCAGTCCAAACAGGAGAAAACACTTAGAGCCACAGAGGACAGAGGAGGTAAACCAAAGGTTAGACACTGAACTGAGTAACCCACCAGAAAGCTCTTACCTGCCAGGCTTAAAAACTTGGCTCTTTTGACATTTTAAGGTACATTATCTACTAATGGGCCATGTTAAAGTGAAGCACTGAACAATCAATCAATCAGTCGTGTTTATCCTCACATGTAATTCATTTACAAATGAAACTGTCTGCATTCATACACTATATGTAATATCCATGCTTTATTTTTTAGTGTTCAGAATCAACCAAAGCAAGCTAGCCAGCCTGTCAGGCAGACCCTCCAGCTTAGTGACTCATTCTTTAATCAAGGATAGGATTCAATCTTAGACTCCCAAATTACTTCCTGACAACTTCGCCATCTGTGAAATGAACACAGAGGGAGCACATGTTTGTTCTGATTTAACATGGAGTCCACTGAGGTTGATTTAGCACAGTGATGGCTGCAATGAAGATATTAAATCAGATGTAGATGTATGTCAGATGAAGGTGCAAATAATATGCATTTGTTTTTGCATCTAATTATGCTGTTGACATCTGAAATGCTTTCTGTTAGCACCATCATCATCTTTAGTGGCTGACACATCTTATGATACTCTGTTAATGAGGATAACAAATTATATTGTGGATAATGATTCATTAGCATGATTGTTGTAATGTCTTATCATTCTCTCTTTGACTGCAGAGGCATTCAGTGAGCTGTTATACTAAACTGAGGAATTAAATACTTAAATTCTGATCACATCAGCAATAAGAAAAATATTAAGCCTCTGGTTCGGGCCACTGCTGGAAGATTACATGCCCAAAATTAATGACTGTTTCTCTGCAACCATAAGGTCTATATGAACAATCTTGGTATCATAATAAAGGTAGCAATTGGATGATTTACTGCAACGGTATACACATGAGTATAGATGTTGCTGGGTTAGATTAAATAACACTTTTAAAGTGTATATTCCTTTGGATTTAAGCAGTTGCAGCCCAAAACCTCCAGTGAACCAAGTCACAACATCTGAACATCACCTGTGTAAAGACAGATGCTAATAAAGTGAAGCAGAGCAAATTTAGAGAGGTTTTAGTAGAGGCATATTAAGGTGGAATTTCCAAATTGGCTATTTTAGGTACATTTGTGCACCCTCTGTGCCTCTCAGATTACTGTAAAACTCATTTGCTGTCACTTACATGTTACTATAGGTATTGATTTGAACTAAATACAGCTGTTTTTGGCTTTTGAAAAACCATCAATCAGACCTCCATGCAGGCTCCCATTCATGGAAAACCATAATATATAGACGGAATAATGAAAACACCAGACATCCTAAAATTGACCCCTGGGGCACACCATAATTTTTTTTAAAATCATTTTTAACACAGGTCTTGACAGGTTGCCAGACTATCACAGGGCTGACACATAGAGACAGACCACCATTCACACTCACATTCACACCTATGGACAATTTAGAGTCATCAATTAACCTGCTTGTCTTTGAACTGCGGGAGGAAGCCGAAGTACCCGCAGAATGCCCACACTGACATGGGGAGAACATGCAAACTCTACACAGAAGGGATCCCCCACCCTGGGTTTGAACCAGGAATCCTCTTGCTGTGAGGCGACAATGCTAACCACTGCACCACTGTGCTGCCACTGTCAAATACAAATATTGAAAAGTAAGTCTGTCTCTGGCCTTCATCACAACCAGTGCTTACCCAACTGTTCACCACAAATGTCACTCCGTGTGATGCTGCACATCAACAGCTTTTACACAAGATTCCCATGAGGTGTTTTAGCTCAACCAAGATCCTAGTTAAAGTTAAACAGTATCATCATATATAAGCATCCAGAGGGGTTTATTCAAAGGACACATGCAAACTGTTAAACAGTTAAATATGGAGTGATCTTAGCTCCTTTCACACTTTTCTTGTTTTTTTTTTCCTGCTTCTAGTGCTGAACAGTCAGTTTTCACCATCTAATTACAGCAATAACAAAGCTTTCATTGCCTGAAAGGTCACCCCAGTCAACAGAATAAAATCTTGGTATTGTACATTTCTGCAAACCACAGATACGGAACATTTGTATTTTTCATATGTAATGTATCAACATTTCTATAATGATGTCGCTCAGAACAAAAGCAGCCCATATGAGCTGAGTTTCTCATCAGGGAGAGTCAGGCTGCTCTCATGCACTGTTCATAAGTTTTCCTAAGTTATGCACCAAAATTCATACATACTTAATGTAATCATGAGCCAGTAATTGATGCATAACCCACATATTTTGGAAGGCTGTGATCACGTGACTGGTGCGCTGACAGTAGTAAAGAAGGTAGTGGTCCTGAGCTGTCCAGTTAGGAGGCAGATTGGGGAGGTGGATGGGTCACAAAACACAGGACTTTCCCCTGTAAACCAGTGTTAAGACCTGTGTGAACTTTAGGTGAACTTAAAGTCATTTTATGGTACATCCTGACAATGGTTCTTTTCCTAAACCTGACCTCAGAAACTTTATGTTAATGATGTAACTTTATGTTAAGGCCATAACATCATTCACAGGGTGCTAAGTCGTAGGATATCACATGATCTGTGGTGTGTGCATTTTTGTGGGATGTCATCTGAACTATTCTATGAGGATATGCTAGAGGAGAAGAGGATGGCGGACAGCCTGAGAACTGTTTGAGACCAGCTATTGAGCATTTTTATTCAGTCTGACCAAACAGCTGGTCCAGAGTGAAATATCTCACCAACTATTGGATGGATTCCCCTTAAACCTTAACAATCTTCAGAGAATGAAGGCTAATGACTTTGTTGACCCCCTGCCTTTTCTTCAAGTACCACCTGCAACACCTGCAAATTTTTCCACCTGTCAAACTCTTACCTAAAGAGTTCACTTGCAGTAACAGCATGCTGAAAAGCAAAGTTTCCTGAACTTCCTTTGGTTGGAAGTCTGTTGTTGCAGACTAACTCACTAACTACAGCTGACAGAGATGCTGAGGTGCACTGAACACACCTTGAGTGCACTTCACTACAGCAGCCTGAGAACAGCAAAAACCTACTGGAATTACATAATTCTTTGAATTAATGACAAAGATCTTCCGCCTGTCGCAGCTGTACTTTGAACTCAATGCTCACATAGCATGGAAACATGTTAGCAACTCAGCCTGAAAGGGCAGCTATCATGTTTGTATGGCTGTTTGTTATTCACCTAAAAATCAAGACTAGGCTACTCCTTGTTCTCATTCATTCATCATTTATTCACCCTCTAGCTGGCTCTGTGTACACGCTTGACCTGGGTGTACAAGAGAAATTACAGAATTATTTTTTACTTTGACTTTATCAAATGCAGGCAGTTTTCAGATCACTTTTAATCCCACCCAAATGTTATAAAATAAATCACTTTCTGCAGACTGAAATACTTCTGATCAAACAACCATTTATTTGTCACATTCACAACTTAAGTGAAATACAGTCTTGACAGATCCTTCAACTTACGCATCAGAATTTGGTACTTTTTGCCTCTTCCTACGCTTGTCATCCATGTTTCCAGACTGCAGCCTTAATATGTAGGCTGCTGTGTGTGTGTTGATGGGATCTCGGATTCCTCTGGTAATCCAGAGTTTCTGGTTGTGGAAAGATTTAACTGTGATTGTTTTTACATTGAGAATAAATGTAACATGGTGGAGTTAAATGAAAGTGGATCAAAAGTAGCTGTAATCTCTCCAGCACTGATGTAACTGAGACCTGACATCTTGTTGTAAGTGATGCCATCATCAGTGAAGATGTGATATGGCAGCCATTATGCATCCTTGGCGCAGATTTGAGTTTTTCTGTCCTCACTTTCAAGGTCATTGAAAGTCCCATCTGTGGGCACAGGTTAAATTTAGACAAAACAATAGCATAAAAGGCAATTTATCTGGACAGGGAATTATTTTCTAATAATATTTTTCTTTCTTCAATTTTGTTGAAAATACATTTGTGTAAATATGAAGAGAAAAAATGTGAGGCAATACAGTTAGTGACATCAGAGCATCTTTACAGAAGATTTCTCTTTTTGAAGAAAATGCAAAATATGACCGATGATCACAAATATAGATCAATAATCATAATTTGATGAGAGGTAAGAGTGAATCCTGCAGTCTTACCTTTGTTATGATGATGTGATAAGGTTGCAGGAGCAGGTAGTGAGGTACTGAGGGAGAGGGAACGCCGTCTTTATAAACCGTCTTCAGCTGCTGTGGCTCAAAGCGTTTCACTCTCTGGTTGCCAAACACTGTTTAATTATCCTACTGAAGTACTTAATGTGTTCACCAAATAATGCTAATGAAGTCAAACATAAATTCTTTGCCTAAGATTGCAAAGATAACAACCACGATCCTGCTACTGTTACTCATGTGCTCCTCAGCTGAATGTACAAGAGGCTGACCGACTGAACTGAAGAAGCACCAGAGCTTGTTTTTACAGGTTGACCTTTATGAGGGACCAGAGGGATATTTTGTCGTCTGCTGCTTCGATTCCTTTTCTTTTCTGTTTTTAACATCTGTCTGTTGTCCAGAAAATAATGAACACACTTTATCAAAGCAGACTTCACAGGTTCAAGTATATCATAAACTTGACCACAAAAAAAAAAGTTTATCACTCAGTCTGTGTCACTGGGCAACCTTGAAATCCCCCTGAAATAAAGTAAGAGCATCTTTTGCTTCTGCTCTGTGATGTATTTCCCAGTGAAACAGAACATTGAGCAGTGTTCAGTTACAAAAGGGATTTAAATCAATTCTTGGATTTGGACCGCTAAAAAGTGGGCAGGTATAAAGTTTACAAAGCATGATACAAAGCCACAGTGGAGTCCACTGCTGAGTGCACTGTTGGCTCCACACACACCTCCCTGCAACTGTTAGACACTGAATAACATGATTTTTCAAGGATTGTTCAAAGAGTTGCGTTCGAAAACCATCAGAGACACAGTGAGCAGCTCCAGCTTCAGTAGTATCTCTTACAGCGAAATCCACCAAAACAAGTCAGCTTTTATTTTCCAGAGTTAAAAAACTGTTTTGAACTCTGGAAAGACGGGACAGGACAGATGAACTGCTGTGCAGTCTAAGGGTGCTTGCCATACTTGACATTATCTGACAAGTATAGCGATGGAAAAAAGTGCCTTGTTTGTGTATTTTTAACATATACAGATGTCAGATGGGTCAGAGTCACTTCTGTCCGGTATGAACCCATAATAGTCATTTTTAGTTAATTCATTTGATAGCCCACCTTTCACATTTCAATAGTTTGCATATATACGTCCTTTGAATAAACCCCTCTGGATGCTTATATATGATGATACTGTTTAACTTCAACTAGAATCTTGAGTTGAGCTAAAACACCTCATAGCAATTCTGTATAAAAGCCGACTTTTACTTTTATCCCCCAAGATTTAACATTCACTTGCCTATAAGGAAGCATACACACATAATGTGTAAGTGTGTGTGTGCTCTTGTTTGACTCTTTGTGAGGACAATTTTGAGTTTCAGGCACTGAGATGGTATTTAAGTGGCAGGAAAACAGTCTGTGTGGAGCTCCAAAGATGCTGAACGCATTGGCCGGAATGCAGTCTCAGAGCCTATTGGCTATCATCTGATGATGATTTAGCTTTGTATTAGCCTTTTTAAAAATGTATCTGCATTCACCTTTCAGACCTGGAGGCTGTGTGTACGTCTTTATACAGTCTGTGCTGGAAACAACACAAATTGGCATAGTTTGTGCACGGCCCAGGACAGGAGGGCTCTGCAACGGGCGATTAAAACTTCCCAGAACACCACTGGTACCCATCTTCCAAACATCAGTGATATCAGTCCAAAGGATACTAAAAGACAATATCCACCCCAGCAACAGCCTGTTCACCCCGCTGCCATCTGGCAAGCGATATAGAAGTACCTGCTGATGCACCACCAGACTACAGAGCAGTGGGACTACAACTTTGTTTCGTTGTGCACCCCTGTGTTCTAGAAGGATATGAAATAAACTGTGAATGCTATAATACAATGATAAACACATAAGACTTTGTGGCAGGCTGTGTGTCCCGCTAGCTGAGATTACAATTTAAGTTTGCCTCTTAAAGGATGGATGTTCATTATTTTGAATTTAGATTATTATTTATGTCAAATCTGCCTTGGGTGTTGACAAACAAACAAAACAATTAGTGGGCAACTGCTGCCAAATTAACAATGAAGTCCGATCATTAACAAGCATACAGTGGCAATATGCTCTCTTCTTGAAAACTAACCTTTGTCTATGCACATCTGTCACTGTTGCACATACAGTACTACAGTCAAATCACCTCTGAGAATTAAAACATAAATTTGGTAACTGAGAACTAGTAACTAAGATGTATCCTTTGGAAAAGAATCACCTGCTGTGATGTTGTGATCTGTATCTTCAAATAAACCCTCATTCACCTGGTTTTCAAAACAATATTGGATGTAATTTAATCAAACGCATGTCAAAACAAAGACACAGTTTTTACGCATCTCATCGTCATTTACCTCCCCGTCTACATCTTAACTCTGTCCTCTATGGAATCAAATGATAAAAAGACAAAGCAAAGAATCGACTCACTCTGTGTTGTGAGTGTCGATAGTGTGGAAGAGCTCCTTCAGTTCCTCGGCTGTCAGGACGCCATCAGAGAAGTAGGCCTTGAACTCATCAAAGGACAGCTTTCCATCATCTGGGGACGTACCACAAATGCAACTTGTCAACACAGTTCAGTCAGGACTGCAGCATCCTGTGAGGTGAGCCGGCCATTTTATTGTAGATTCCTTATAGAAATTCAAGATTTGTTTTGTTGTGTGTTTGTTTGTTTGTTTTGTTCAGATGAGCATGCTGGCTTGTGCCTGCAGGGGTGTTGGACATAAAAAATGTAATTAAATATAACATTGAGGTGAAAAGATCTGACGGTGGTCAGTAGCACAGATTTAATTCAGTGAGAACATGAATAACTTTTAATTAAGAATTTATTATTCCTTTTAATATTCCATCTCCTGAGCTGATGGAACTGCAGGGGCTGAATAAGCAAAAGATGGCATCAAGTGTACAGTACAGATCAAATTCCCCTCACAGAGGAAAAAGCAGCAGTAAAACTTAAGAAAATATCTCTGCAATGACACATTCTTCCTTGTTTTTATTATTATATTTAACTACACTGTAAAGAGTCATCACCATTTATTACATTGAACCAACAGTCATTTTTATGCTTTGAGGCTCTGTAATTATGCTCAGGATAAAAAGGCCCAAGCTGTTTTAAATATTCATGAGGTGAAAAAAACAAGGAGAGCCCCAAACTCAAACTGAGCATCTTGCAGAAAAATAAAGACAATCAAGCACAGACAACATATTTTTTGACACAGCTCTGGCTGCAGTCATCTCTGTTTGTTTGTGTGACACAAGGTGGCTGGTCTTTTAATGTTCACTGCTGACCTGCTGCTCTGGAGGTGACGTTCAGTATGATTGTCATGTCACTAGAGATGCTGCGAGCAAGAGAGATGCACAGAGACACATAAATCAAGCGCACAGTGACTCACTGTCAATGAGCTCAGATATGATCTTGGAGCGGACCTGACATATAAATGCTGCTGTTTGCACACCACTGAAAACAAACATGTGGGACGACTTCTTGTCTCGCTGCATGACAAGACCTCGAATCATTCACAGCGAGGGACGAACATTTGATGAATAATGAAGCATGTCATGTACATAATGGATTCTGATTAGCTATTTTTGCATGTGGAGAAAATCATTTTTGACGCCAGGGCCTCTGTCAAAATATCAGCTGACAACCTGATGTCAGTTTGTTCCTTAACTAAAAACACTCAGAGTGATCTGGTTTGACTGTGTGATACCAGCCTGTGTGCATATCTGACATGATGTGTGAAAGTGTGTGTCAGCAGGGTTTTAGTTTACAACTCAAAAAATACTTTCATTGTGTAGACATAAAGGCAAATAGTGGTCTCATGTCTATATACGTTTTGACAGATATTTCAAAATCAAATCAGCAAATTGTTGATTTGATTTTAGCCTCCGTCTGGATGTAAATGAAAAGAGAAACTATTTCAGTTTTCATTATGTAAAAATCTTCATCAGAGCGTTCTTAATGTCCCAAGCACAAAATGGCTTGGGCAGAGCATGCGTCAACATCAAATGATCCATAGAGGCATCTTGTCTCCTACGGATAATATTTCTTACTGTGGTGTCTATGTGTTTAGCATTTCAGGGCCATCAGTAAGGAAATAATGCATTTAAAGATCCCCTGTTTTTTTCTTCTGTTTATGTCCCTTAAATGTCTGATCTTTACTATACTGATTTGTATCTGTGCAGAGTTTGTCATTAGAGAGGTGTTTTTACTCCTCTACCGAAGTGGGCAATGTCTGTGCACTTCCCTAAAATCTGAGACTCAAATGTATCCTGGACAAGCTGGATAAGGTACATCACTAATATGAAAACCAATCGCTGTCTAAAGCTGAAAAAAAACACTGGATAGCAGAATCAAGGCTCGTCATATGACCCGCAACAGGTGCCAACCCGAGCACCAATAGGGAGCGTCGCACTGCAGCACGTCAACAGAAGACCACACACGGCTATTATTACTTTTATTAGAAGATCTGTGGACAATCTTCAGAGCTATGGCTCACCAGGCAATATATTTTTTCAACACATTCTCATCCCAAGTCATTACATATTGCCGCTTTGTGAATGGCCTTTCACGTCGACATATTACTCCTCAGGTATCCTTCTGCATCTGCTGCTGACACTTTTCTAGGTTTAGAAAAAAAAACATCATGGCTCTAAGGAGGTCCTGGGTGAAAGTCCAGGGTTTGTTGGGCCCATCCACCACCCCTCCTACCTGCCCTATAGGGACTTTCTAGCTCCTTCTATTACGTCACTACCAGCAGCGTTTCGACCTAACACTGTCCAGCAGTGTGTCATATTGCTGTGACAGGTGCCGCCCGACCAGCTGGCATTGTATCACGACACTGCGAAATGTTACTTCCAGCTGTATTACATACTGATGCCATGCAGCAGCATTTCACACCGCCAAGAAAGATGGCTTTTGGCATCAGGTGTCTGATGCTGACATCACTGACGAAGCAATGGTTTTTGATAACTTCGGAAAATCGCCACGTACCTCAGCAACAAGTCTTTCCTCATCCATTGTTCGACACACACGAGTTTTCTCCTACATGGTGAGGAGAGGAGTCAAGCTGCCAGGAGTCAAGCTGCTATGGGAGCTGGTATGTACAAGAAGGAAGCGAATGGGGAAAAAAAATCTTTATTTTTATTATTTTTTTTATTTTATTGTCTACTTTAATATTTTATTTTATTTTGATGTCTACTTTTATATTTTTATTTTATTTTATTTTATTTTAATGTCTACTTTAATATTTTATTTTATTTATTTCATTGTGTATTTTAGTATTTTATTTATATCTTCATCTTTATCTCTTGTTTCCATTCATGATGTATTTCTATTTCTACTTTGCACGGAGCATTGGAACAAAAACAATTTCCCCCGGGGATTAATAAAGTATTCTGAATCTGAATCTGAATCTGAACAGTGAGGCTGGAAATACGACAGTGGCATGAAGTGTCATGGAGCGGTGCATCCAGCATCTAATGATCTAAATGATACGTTATACCTCATTGTTTAAAAAAAAAAAGTGTTACATGCCAGACTATTTCTTAGCAGGAAGCAGTGGAGACTCCAGAAAGTTTCTGGTCCTGGCCAGGAAATATTGTATTCTGGAGTTTAATGGTTATTTCATTCTCTGTCTGCACACAAATGCAGAACAGTCTATCACACTGACTTGACTGAATAAATCAGACTCAATAATCAAAATTCAAGGCCTGTGTGCAATAGATGATAGAGATTTCCTGGATTCAGACTCTTGCTGTATCGAGTAAACAACAAAATAAACTATGTTTCTCTGTATGTTTATACTGCATATTATGATAATGCTGTGAAGGACAGTTAAGGAGAATCAATAGCGGAATTTGCCGTGAATATCCACCTCATTAGGCGTGGACCACCATGACAGAAATGTCTTAATTTTTCACGATTTTCTTGGTTAATGCTCTGATACTGAACCTCAGTGGGCATGGTCAGTTTCCTGTTTCCATGGAAACTGAAAGAGTATGAGCAGAGAGTCATGATCAGAATTTCATTGAGAAAGTAGGTTTTCACACACGAGAAAGAAGGGTTGAAGTAACACCAAAGACAAAGGAGTGTGTGTGTGTGAGTCTGGAAGGAACTTTTGTTGCAGTAGCCTACTCACCGTTTTTATCAGCTCTCCGTAAAATCTGTGACGAGAAAAGGAAAAAAGAACTATGTCAAAAAAAGGTTTCGCATCATCAAAGTTAAAATAAGTGCGTGTGCGCGTGTGTGTGTGTGGGGATCATAGATCACATTCTCAAAGGCAGTGTGTCATTAAATTATTGATAGTGCTGTCCCAGAGTCCAGAGGAGATGAAAGGCAGAGTGGCAATGACCACATCAGCTTTAAAAGGCTCAAACCCCCTTGGAATAGCACCGCTCACTTTCTCTTCTTGTCAGGTTCGTATTTCTGGAGAAGAATTTGAACAGGTTTTGGGTCTATTTACACACTATCACTTTAAATCTGACTGAACAACACTGAATGTGCAAGATCTAAATTTTAAAATGCCATCCTTCCACCCTTGGATTTTCCTAGCTTAGAGGGCTTCAGCTCTGTGCTACAAAGGGGTAAAAATACTCATAGAAAAATATCCGCCCACCTTCTTCTGGGTCTTGGCAGTCTGTCGTGTGTTCTGACTTACATAATTTGTTCTAATCTCCCTGCTTTATCGCCTCCTCTCTCCCCAACCTATAAACCTTCTGTCTCCATCTCAGTTCTACCTTTCATTCATCACTTGTCCATCTCATATTTCTAAAAAAAAAAAAAAATCAATCCATTAAATTAGAAATAACTTTATTATCTCTGCAAGGCAATTGTATGCAGCCTGGACATCCATGTCAACAAATACATACACAGATATAGGTGTAGATTTCAGGGGGGGACTGAGAGGACACATCCCCTTCAATATTTAGAACATGTGTATTGTGTATTATATAATATTTTTTAATTATAACAATTCACCAAAATGCAGAAAATTAAGTATAAGAGAAAAATAGAACAATGAAGTCATAAGCAACATTTGATTCTGCTTCTCGAATGTGAGAATTAACTAATTTTTCTTGTCTCTAATGATAATAAGTCGAATATTTCTTTCTTTGAGCTGCCGGTCAGACAAAACCAGACAATTTCTGACATCACCCTGCTTTAAGATAATGTAGAAGGAATGTTTCATGGTTTTCTGATGTTTTAAAGACTAAACAACAGATTTAGAATTGTGTGCTGATTGGATTCGGTCATTCAGATACCAGCTCACACTGATAACTCTGAATGGGTCTCATCGTCTCATCTCATTTCATCCTAATTAATATTTTACATCTAATGAGTCAAATTAACCAAGAATATAAGGCTGATGGTCTTTTGGGTTAATTTCCCTCTCTTATCTGGTACTGAAGTGAAAATCTGTCACTGAGCAGCATCGAAACCCTAAAGAAAAACACACATGGAGACACAGCACTAACATCTAACTGGTCCCAGGAAGGAGGCAGTGTGTGTGTGTTGTCAGGACACACACTCCGACTGAAGCGAAAGCTACAGGAGATGTCAAGAAAACAACCCAGGCAGCACTCTGGCAGCCAGCTCTTCTCTGAAGATGAGCAGCAGTTTCATTTCCTGCCAGAAGATAGAGCACCTGTTCGACATCAGTGAGACATTTGATGTTACACGGCTTTCCACCTCTGATAACTCCTGGCTCCCATGTGTGCATCCTCCCCTGTCTTGCTCAAACACTGACGGCAGCCAACAGGTTCATAGTTAAGACGTAACAAGCGAATGAAGGAGCGGAGGAAAATAATGAGATTGTGGGTGCAGAGGTAGAATGCAATGCACTGAAACAGGGGAGGCAAAGCTCTTGAGAGAACCACTTGAGGAAGATCAGTAGCTGTGGTGATATATATAGGCTATAAGAGGTGGTTTAAATATTTAAAATCCTCATCATCTAAGAGAGCTGCAAGAGACATAAATTCTATATTCTCCTTGTATTCAAACATTTTAAAACACCATATCAAGTTCTGAACCTCAATATTACATTTTCCCTAAATGAGCTAGATATGTCTTGGTAAGGTCACGCTGACTTTTATCAAACCTAGTCTAGCATTTCATTAACATGGCATTTGGTGTTTGAACACTGACATGAGAATGGATGGCCAGCCGTGAAATCCTTACACCATGAAGCCAAATTAAAGGTCAGCCATGTCAAATTAATTAATTCTGTAAAACAAGGAACCCTCTGTGTCCTGCATGCATCAGAGGGATCCTTAGGTGACTAAAAAAACACCAATGGAAAACTATTAGAATAACTGAAACTTAAGATTTGAAAAGTCAAATGTATATATTCAAAGTAAATAAAAAAAATCTGGTATTATTATTATCATAAATAATATGTAGATTGTTACCTAGGTCGTCTGAAAAAATGAGCTGTATGATGTTCAAGTTTTTGCACGAGTAGTGAAGATGAGATGCATCTTGTATAAATAATGATAAAAAAATATTTTACTCACATCAATGAAAATCGACATTCCTTTCTTGAGCTCCATTTGAGCTCTGGGCTCCTCAGACACAGGTTGAACCTCCTCTGAACAATCCATCATTCAAAATGTAGCTTCAGTAGTAAACTGCAGAGGAATGTGTCCGCGTGAACCTCTTATCTGATCAAAGCCAATGGTCAAAAAGGAGCGACTCCTTCACGCGGTCAAGTCAGCCGGAATAAAGCACTCAACTTCCGGATTATTGTGTCACAATTCAACCAGTCATTATTGCGTTTTAGAATAAAAAAAGCAACATATATTTCTCTGCCCTTCTTCCTCTTCGCGTGTCTCAAATAACACAAATACAAATAATCTCAATTATAATTTTGAGGCTATTCTTTGCATTTGGCCTGCACACACCGACCCTTTCCCTGAATCTGTGTGCTTTTATTTTGAAAGCAAAATCAGTTAACTTCCTGTCATGCACTGCCTGTCTCTGTCAGCCTTCACAACGAGGCAGATGCTGTTGCGATGAGTCCAGACCTGCTGCATCTCCGCGAGCAAAGTGTCTCTAAATGCAAATTCTACTTTCGTGGATAATATGTGGATTAACTTCCACTGGCAGATCACTGAAAATTATTATAACTACAGGTAACATTATAGTAATGAGATTACATGTTTATGGTACAACATACAGCCAAATGAGCAGCACAAAGAGCATATACTGGGACTGCTATATATAGACGGAGTTTTTGTTCAAGGATGCAAAGGCAAGATAAAAGGTCATCTAAGCTTGGATTAAAGGAGTCGTTTATAATGTCCTCTCTGTGACCTGAGAGAAAGTAGTGTGAGGGGGCTGGAAAGCATCTTCCTCTTCATCATCATCATCATAATAATAATAGACTGCATTTGTATGTCGCCATTCTTTAAAAATGCTGCTCAAAGTGCTTTACAAGAAGGAAAATGCATGCACCAAATAAAAATGTGGTGAACATGCAAAGGTGGAAAATAAAACCCACTGAATAATAATACTGGAAAAAGTTAAAATACATCATTATCACACTGTTATACATACAGTACAGGCCAAATGTTTGGACACACCTTCTCATTCAATGCGTTTTCTTTATTTTCATGACTATTTACATTGTAGATTCTCACTGAAGACATCAAAACTATGAATGAACACATGTGGAGTTATGTACTTAACAAAAAAAGGTGAAATAACTGAAAACATGTTTTATATTCTAGTTTCTTCAAAATAGCCACCCTTTGCTGTGATTACTGCTTTGCACACTCTTGGCATTCTCTCCATGAGCTTCAAGAGGTAGTCACCTGAAATGGTTTCCACTTCACAGGTGTGCCTTATCAGGGTTAATTAGTGGAATTTCTTGCTTTATCAATGGGGTTGGGACCATCAGTTGTGTTGTGAAGAAGTCAGGTTAATACACAGCCGACAGCCCTATTGGACAACTGTTAAAATTCATATTATGGCAAGAACCAATCAGCTAACTAAAGAAAAACGAGTGGCCATCATTACTTTAAGAAATGAAGGTCAGTCAGTCCGGAAAATTGCAAAAACTTTAAATGTGTCCCCAAGTGGAGTCGCAAAAACCATTAAGCGCTACAACGAAACTGGCACACATGAGGACCGACCCAGGAAAGGAAGACCAAGAGTCACCTCTGCTTCTGAGGATAAGTTCATCTGAGTCACCAGCCTCAGAAATCGCAAGTTAACAGCAGCTCAGATCAGAGACCAGATGAATGCCACACAGAGTTCTAGCAGCAGACCCATCTCTAGAACAACTGTTAAGAGGAGACTGCGCCAATCAGGCCTTCATGGTCAAATAGCTGCTAGGAAACCACTGCTAAGGAGAGGCAACAAGCAGAAGAGATTTGTTTGGGCCAAGAAACACAAGGAATGGACATTAGACCAGTGGAAATCTGTGCTTTGGTCTGATGAGTCCAAATTTGAGATCTTTGGTTCCAACCGCCGTGTCTTTGTGAGACGCAGAAAAGGTGAACGGATGGATTCCACATGCCTGGTTCCCACTGTGAAGCATGGAGGAGGAGGTGTGATGGTGTGGGGGTGTTTTGCTGGTGACACTGTTGGGGATTTATTCAAAATTGAAGGCACACTGAACCAGCATGGCTACCACAGCATCCTGCAGCGACATGCCATCCCATCCGGTTTGCGTTTAGTTGGACGATCATTTATTTTTCAACAGGACAATGACCCCAAACACACCTCCAGGCTGTGTAAGGGCTATTTGACCAAGAAGGAGAGTGATGGAGTGCTGCGGCAGATGACCTGGCCTCCACAGTCACCGGACCTGAACCCAATCGAGATGGTTTGGGGTGAGCTGGACCGCAGAGTGAAGGCAAAGGGGCCAACAAGTGCTAAACACCTCTGGGAACTCCTTCAAGACTGTTGGAAAACCATTTCAGGTGACTACCTCTTGAAGCTCATGGAGAGAATGCCAAGAGTGTGCAAAGCAGTAATCAGAGCAAAGGGTGGCTATTTTGAAGAAACTAGAATATAAAACATGTTTTCAGTTATTTCACCTTTTTTTGTTAAGTACATAACTCCACATGTGTTCATTCATAGTTTTGATGCCTTCAGTGAGAATCTACAATGTAAATAGTCATGAAAATAAAGAAAACGCATTGAATGAGAAGGTGTGTCCAAACTTTTGGCCTGTACTGTATGCACATTAACTGTGTAGAGAACTGACAAATACAGCAAATTCATTTCTGTCATGTGTTGTGCTTTTATTTTGGGAACCTCTACAAAGCAGTCTCTCTCTGAGGTCTACTCCCAGGGGCGTGTTTTAGGAGTGCACACTTGAGAACAGGCCGCAGGGCTTCAGCAGGTGTCAGTTAGTTAGGTAGTTAAGCAGGAACAAGTAGTCAAGGAAGAGAGAAGGAACGGGTCGAGGGGTTCCTGGTTATTGTGTTTTGGTCAGACAAAGGGGGTCAGGATGGGTGTCTCCGCTCCTGCTGGAATCTGCTGCACCTGTGGGGCTGGTTTTGTTGTCCATCGGCCTGCTACATGTTTGGTGAGAGTTGTGGAGCTTTCTTTTTACTAGTTTATGGTCATTAGTTCAAAAGTCAGAGCTCTGGGAAAACATCTCTGAGTGACTGATGTGGCTCATTTCTCCATCAGGATTTACACCTCATTACTGCTGGCTGTCAACAGGTTTGTAAGAGTTCACCACCATCAGATCCTTTAGATAATAATGTCTGGAACAGCTGTAAATCTTACAGCCTGGAGGCCGGTGGTTGGATTTTAGATGACATGACATTTTTAGTTGCCCATTGTTTATGTTAATATTGATTTATTTCATTAAGTTGTAACATCTTTAACATCATAACAGCATTACTAACTGCACTTCTCAATTTGGGAGAATAATAAAGTGCACTTTAGTGAGAAACACTGAAAACACAAACAAATAAAGTCAGAATGACATCTATTGGCCATGTATGTGTGCACATACATTAGACTCAGTTTGTTTGTCTGTACATAATAAATAGACATAACACCCAGGAGCAAGGACATTAAAGCTAAAAAAGATAAAAAGAAAAAAAAAAGGTGAAACATTAACCGCAGTATTATTTACATGTGAAAGAATTTGTGTTTATATAAATACCATGTAAATATATATAAAATGCACCAATTACCAACAATAAAAATAAAATAAAACATTTACATACAAGCCAAATGTTCTGTAAGCTGTAAACTATAGACATAGTGCAAAGAAATAAATACTCACTGGTTGATGATGTGTAGTGTGTGCTTTAACACTGTATATAGAGCATGTAGGAGTTACACTGACAGTGACAGATGATATGTACATTAAAATATGATCTATAATAGTCTATAAAGGGATCAGTGAATGTTTTAGTGTTACAGGGTTATTGACAGTGTATGACTGCTTTAACTGTTCATCAGGGTGACAGCCTGCGGAAAGAATCTGATCTTGTGTCTGGTTGTTCTGGTGTTCAAGAAGCTTGTTTCCAGGGTGTGAAGGCAGCGATGTTACCTGTCTATTTCCTGACTGGAAATGTATAAATGCTGGATGGAGAGCTGGTTGGTGGCAGTGATTCTTTCTGCAGTCCTAACTGTCTGGTGTAGTCTGTTCTTGCCCTGTTTGGTGGCTGATCCAAACCACACAGTGATGGATTATTGCAGTGTAGAGTTGCAGCTCCTCAGGCAGGTTGGATATCGTAGTAGGGCCCATACCCTCTGCTGGGAACTTATTCTTGGTGGTATCAATGTTGGATGTTCACTTTAGGTCCTGAGAGATGGTGGATCCCAGAAATCTATAGGTTTCCACAGGAAACATGGTGCTGTTCAGTATGAGGATGGGGGGCAGTGTTGGGGGCAGGGGTCCATGCTGAAATCCACTGTCATCACCACAGTTTTTAGTTTAATTTTCTCCAGGTTGTTTTGACTGCACCAGAAGGCCATCCTTTCAACCTCACGTCTGTATGCAGACTCGTCACTGTCCCGAATGAGGCTAGGGACCATTGTGCCATTGGTGTCCGAGGGGAAGGGTAGTGGGGAGAGCACCTATCATGGGCGGAACCGGCGCTCATCATCTGGGTGCTGGACGTGATTTTTCTTAGCCTCACCTGCTACCAGCGGTCTGTCACTAAGTTTGTGATCCACTGACAGATGGGAGCCGGTACTGTGAGCTGGGTGACTTTGGGAGCAGAGCACTTCTGGGATGATGTCGAACACTGAGCTGAAGTCCACAAACAGGATCTTTGCATATGACCCCAGGGTATTGAGGTGTTGCAGGATGTAGTGCAGCCCCATGTTGACTGCGTCATCTACTGACCTGTTTGCCCTGTAGGCAACTTTAGGGATCTAGAAGAGGGCAGGTTCTCTCAAAGGATTTCATGACCACAGATGTCAGGGCGGCGGGTCTGTGGTCGTTTAATCCAGTAATGGAGCGTTCATAATTGTGGAGGATCTGAAGAAAGCAACCTTTGCTTGTGAAACAGTTTGCCCTCAAATGTAATGTGCACCCAATAAAACTAGATAATAAACTGGATTGTAAAGTGATAAATGTTTTCATGTAAATGCAGAGTAATCCAACTAATAAAACAACCCTGCAATGTACTGGGACTGGCTGTAAAACTGTGTAACAGTTCCATCTAGTGGAGCGTTACAACAGCACAGAATCCCAACATATAAACAAACACAGCATGAGCATGAGCATAAATAATAACTCAAAGCATTTAACCTATGTTTGTATCAAAATCTTTACAACATATGAATATAAAATGAAAGCCTTTGAGAAAGTGGATATGACTTAAAAGTTTTTTGAGGGGTACTACTGAAAATAAATAAACACTTTCTTTACTCACAGCTGTGAGAGCCAGGCGGTGAGCGGTGGTAGATGCATGAATGCACTTATTGTCTGCTTCATTCCCCTCATTATGAATTTATGATGAGCATGCCACGCAGGGAGATTCCCCTCAGGCTACTATACTGTATGCTCTTAGAAATACAGTTCAAACCCTGTTGTATACTAGAAATCCAGCTTTATTTCTAATTGAAAATGTACGCATTAAGTTTTGTAAGTGTTAACATAACTAAGTATGCCTACATTTACTCAAGTACTTTTTATTTCCATTTTGTGCTACCTTATACTACTATTTTACTCACTTTTTTAACATATCTTGTTAACAGTGAAATTAGGCTTAATATGTCCTGAAATACTGTACAAAATGCAACTTTGAGTAATTTGAAGGCTCTTTTACAAGTGTTTCCATTTTATGCTATTTAATGAATCTACTTATTGTACTTTTGTTGTTGCAATCAAACATATATTTTTAATAATAGTTTGTTATCATTTGTATATTTTATGTATCGTCCTTTATCTTTATATATTTTTGAGTTTTTAATAACTTTGTGAACATTTTATGAGGTGGAGGTTTCAAATAAGCCCTCCGGGTTTTTGCCTCTCCCTGCACTGTATTGCATTATTCTTCTTTCCTTGCCTTTTTTGTGTTTTAATTGTGCAAAAAATAAACAATAAACTATAAACAGATTAGGATTTTTAAAACAAGACATGATTAATTCATAAAATCGGATGCTTTATTAGGGCAAATTGCCAAACAGAATTAAAGTCATTAGAGCTCCACTTCTGCAAGCCACATTAAAATTCATGTTAATGCTTCCGTCTTGTGGTAATGCTACTTTTACACATATAAATCAAAGATTTAAATACATCTTCCACCACTACTTTGTCATTGATCCTTGAAGCTGTATTTGTGGTTAGATATTACTGCCCTATTCATTGAAGTAATTCATCCTAAATAATTAAAGTACCACATCAAAGCATTGTGGTTTTCCGTTCCTCTTATGTGGTCGCACAGTGGCTGACAGCACAACCCATCCATAATTGATAATTGATCCAAAACAAACATAATCTGTAGTTAACCCCAGCGCAAATCTCGCGATGACAATCGGAGCGCTCTGATTGGATGAGAACCGCTAAGGGTAGGTCACGTGGGCTGGGGTTACTTGGCATTCTGGGACACAAACAGTGGTCGGTATGAATAGCTTTAACAGCGTCAACAGCAGCAGTTTCCACTGTGGAGGGAAGGCGACGAGAGAAACAACAACCGCCTCCCAGCAGAGATAGAGCAAACTGGTTTTTCGTATCCGGCTCCTGCGTCCTGTCTCGCGGCTCTGTTGTCCGGAGGAAGCGCGTGAGGAGGCCAGCTACGGCGGGTAGTGTCTGAAATGCAACGGTGGACTTTATTCACGCAGCGAGCTAATTAGCTAACGAGAGGAGTAAGTTAGCCTTGCAGTGATTTATGCTAGTGCGTTAACGTTAGCTGGACGGTGATGTTAGCGGAGTCATAAAAGTTGATGCTGTGGTCGTCTCGGTCTGGAGAAGAGTTGGATTGTCTCTGTAACGTTACTCACGACTGCTCCCTCCATCCATTGACTCCACACTGTCCTGAGCTGAGGGGTGACAACTCTGAATATGGCGAGTGTTTCAGACAGAGACTATAAAACTGGCACCTATAAGTCAATGGACTGGCACGTTGCCCAGATAGTGTATCCAAGATAAATATTGTTAAAGTGGACAATTCATGTAATGGCCAAGGAGAGTGACGGATTTCATCTGTGTGTCTCCCTGCACGGCTGCCCAGCAATGGGTCACCACTGCTAAAGCCATCTTCTTCAAAGTACATGGACACTTGCCTCTGTTGAAGCTCAACAAATTGATATTGGTAGACATGGACTTGTACTGAATGTAAAGACTGTCTGGATACTTCAACCGTCACAGCTGTCTCCAGGTCGGACAGATCATCTGAGCCTTGCTGCTGGTCACCAGAGCTTACATGAGGGCCAACATGTCAATGTCAGGGTCCACGACCGTGCAGCTTTTCACCAAGCTTCTCAAGCATGCGGTGGGCAAGGCGCAGATTCAGCTTAACCGCTGGCTGCAGAGGACTGCCACAGAGGAGTGTGACAAAATTGACATCCTCATATGCAGCGCCTTCGACGAGACAGGGGCCGTCATAGGGAAGTCAGATGGAGACCCCGAGGTCATCAGTGACACAGGGGGGACGACCTTCAGCAGCAGTGGAGAGTTCAGGCACCCATGCTGTATCACCACCTTTTGCTTCAAGAGTGCCCTGCTGGCTTGCATCCTGACTGCTGTGTGCTTCTCCTCAGTTGCCCTGGTTCGCCAATACCTCAAGGACCTCCTGCTCTGGGTAGAGAGCTTGGACAGCCTCGTTGGAGCCTTGCTGTTTATAGTTGGTTTGATTATTGTGTCATTCCCGTGTGGATGGGGATATATTGTTCTTAATGTGGCAGCTGGCTACCTCTATGGCTTTGTGCTGGGAATGGGACTAGTTATGGTGGGAGTTTTAATAGGGACCTTTGTGGCACACTTGGTCTGCAAACGACTATTAACTGACTGGGTACTGAACAAGGTTGGGAACAGTGAACAGCTCAGTGCTGTCATACGAGTGGTGGAGGGAGGAAGTGGACTCAAAGTTGTGGCCTTAGCGAGACTCACCCCCATACCATTTGGCCTCCAAAATGCAGTTTTCTCGGTGAGTATGAAAACACTGTTACCAGCTTTCCACTTTCACTTCAGACAGACATTAGACTGTCATGTGGCGTACATTATAAACTCATTTGAGTTTCAGTCGAAAGGTCACAGCACTGAACCAGCCAGGAGGAGAGCTCATTAGGCCACTGAAAGAAGGTTCAACAAATCACTTGCAGCCATGAGAATAAAACCTGCAATCTTTTTGATTTTAGAGGGAAATGATTTTGTTGTTGCCAGGCCAACCTGTCCCACAGGGGAAATCATAACTAGCCGGAAACCAGTGTGAAGAAAGAGACCAGGAGTATCACATATACATGAATTTTAGATATTGAACATAGTAGTTGACCTGTCACTATACTATTAAAGGCAGAAAACAGTCTACTACCAGAAATAAATATGTAAGGTCAGTCCCCAGAGAAAGGAAACTCATTCCTCTTGTAGTTAGAGGAGACGTGCCTACGAAATGGATTGTATTGTAGCCTAAGGACATCAATTATTTTATCAGTTTGAACTATCAGTATCACATTTTTAAGTCCTAGTTCGGGTCTTCATATTTGGAGCACCATCTTTTCTCTCAACTCAATAAAGATATGGTGATGTTAAAGTAGACTAAATCATGGACATCTTTTATTTTTTTGTCGTAAAGTAAATCTAAAGTCATTTGTCAAGGCAATACACACCGTCTGACCTACATTATAAAGCGAAGCAGTATCAGAATATTGCATTCAGCTGCACTCCTACACTTAAACCGAGGCCCTTGACCTTCATACATGGCATGAATAAGTTATACGCTGATGACCCTTCTCAGTCAACTCATTGATACCTCCAAATGGTAAAAGCCCTGTGGGATGTGTTACTGTGTAGGAAATCAGCTGGGAGGCCACGTGACATGAAAAATGTTATGCTAGTTGTAATTGAATGAACCAATGAAGTATACCGACCTTAGGGTGAACATGATGTTATGTAGCCATTCAGGCTCAGATCTCCGGAGTATTTCAAGCAATACGGCTGCAAGAAAGCTCAAGTGCCTCACTAGTACCACATTTTCAGATCATTTGAGGTTGTTTACAGTAATTATTGAAATAGTAAGGCTAGAAAAATTAAGAAAATATGGATTTGAACTACAGTGTGCTGGAATAGCACTAAAACTGAAATCGGTACAGAGGTACAGTTTGTTAATATGCACAGCATACCTATATGCATCTATACACAAAGGTTTTGACCTGACAAAGATCCATCTGGGATGAAAGAATTGTTAAAATATAACAAGTATTGAAATGTGTCCAAGGATGAACTCTGCCAAAAGGACAAAGTTCAGTTTATTTCAGTCAAATTGGAATCTAGCCTACTCAAACAACGTCTCATTTCAAGAGCAGAATGCACATTTTAAAACTATTAACACATCAGAAAGCAGCTGGATTAAATTGCAAGCAAAGCCATCATCATACGGTATTACATATAAACTGTTTAAGTGAATAGTGACATTTCAATCCTTGTTAATTCAAGCTGTTTTGAACGTTGCGCTGTGTTTGTGGAAAAATATCTGGCGAGAAGAGAATCAAAATAGTGTTGGAAGGCAGAAACCGACAGTAGCACTCACATGCAGAAGTGGATGTGAAGTGGGGCGCTTGAAAGGCATTTATAGCTTAAAGCATGAAGGAGTTGATGCACAGGCCTGAGGCAGGAAAAGGAGAAAATAAGATGACGTAAGTGAAATTCACAAGCACAGTAATTGCATGTTGCAAAACCATTAAGTTTTCTGGGGTGACTGATTTACTTAGACATTTCTCAGTAGACCAGTATTTAGTTTTTGACAGCTCTGTATACACACTTCCAACCACCATACAATAAACACTCTATGTGAAATTCAGTCAGAATACTCTCCATTGTGTCGGAGCTGTATTGACCCATCTGGAATCAATTTTGAGGCCATAGTTGTTCGATGTTTTACATTTGATTTTGTTACATCGATAGCTGTTTGTAATGATTTTTCTACCCTCATTAACACACAAAGTCAGTGCAGAATTTTCAAAACAATAATGCTCCTACAGCCTCCAAAATCCTTGTGGTATGTTAATGTAAAGAGAATGTGTTGAACTTCAGCACATGTATTCCACGCAGTTCATCTCAAATATAATTATTGTCAGTTAGGGCTGCAACAGTTAATCACTAGTCATCAACTATTAAATTAATCATCAACTTATTTGATGATAGATTGATTGGTTTGAGTATTTTTAAAGAAAAAAAGGTCAAAATTGAATATATGTGGCGAATATTTTCTTGTTCTTCACTCCTCTATGACAGTAAACTTAATATTTTGGGTTATGGATAAAACAAGACATTTGAAGACATGATCTTCGGCTCTGGGAAGAGCTCATTGACATTTTTGACCATTTTCCGACATTTTATTTAACAAACAAACAACTACTCAAGAAAATAATCTACAGATTAATCAACAGAGCAAATAGTGGTTAGTTGCAGCCCTATTGTCAGTGTAGTACATGTTTGTATTAAGTGACAGAGAGGTTTTCTATTACATTTTGACATTATGAAATTGGATGTTAATATTTGCATTAATACATCTGTACAATTACTGTTAAAAATTATTATTAAATATAAGCCTACAGTTTAAGAAAGCAGCTTAAGGGCGCTGCTATATATGTTAGAAATGGTTTTGTCATAAAATTTCTATTTTGCAGTCATGACAGTTGTAGGGTTGCATTGTTCTTTTACTTATTATTGATCAGGCTAACCTGTAGATTATTTTCTTGATTAATCATTTTGTCTATAAGATAGTAAAATACTCCCGTTGTAACTTCCGACATGCTCATGGAGATGTATTCAGATTGCTTGTTTTATCAACGGTCCACAACCCAAAGATACTCAGTTAACTATCACGTGACAATCAAAAATTTAAAAGCATTAATCAATTATCAAAATAGTTGCTGATGAATTTCTTTGTTGATTAATCTGTTAATCATTGTAGCCCTAGACAGCTGTCAGACACCTCTTTCTGGAGCAAGTTGCTCATTATTTATGACAATGACAACACGTTCAGAGAAGTAAAAACAGCCATTTGGCAACAGTGAAGTGAGTTAATCTCAGGAAGCATCTGACTGTTAGAACAAGAGATGCTCCAGGAAGTTAACATTTGTGTTGCACACGTATATTGACTAATAGGTTGGTAGTGATTTTAGAACAAGTCAAGAGCTGACTCGCTGAAGTGCTCTTGAAAATTGGAAATAATTTATTTGTAAGTTTATCTGAATGGAGGATGAGTCCTTCATTGTTAAGACGTTGGCATCTTTCCATACATATGTTTTAAACTGAGGGTTTAAGACCTTTTTCGTAGTTGTTTTTCCGAGCTGGTGTTGTCAGCTCCAAGCTAAAAGTATGACAGTTTATGATGTTAAATGACTGATTTGTTTGTTTTAGTCCTACATTGGTCAGCAGTTAACCTGTAAAAAGACCTCTTCATCTAACAGGACTTACAAACCTGGCAGATGGGTTTCCCTTGCCTGACTGGCTTAACTAGCTTCTGTTTGTCGTCCGTCCATAGTTTAGGCTCTATGGTTGGGACATAGCTCTGTATTCAAAGGCTGCAATGTCTCACTTGTGCAAGGATTTTGGCTGTAGCTTTACCAGTAGTTACAACATCGAACTTACGGTTCGTTCTGCAGAGGGTGATAATGAGGTGTCAAAGTCAAAAGGACAGACTCTTGACACTGTGTCGCCCAGCTGCTGCCACTGTCACTGGCATTATTGGTGCTCCTCAATCAGTTTGCCAGGGTCAAATTAAAAGGGTGGCTAATTGACAGCCTGGTAAAATAATGTTTTTGAGCCTGCTGTGGGTCATTATCTACAGAGGAAAGCAAGTAAACACTCGATGAAAAAGGATGTCAGCTTTCAAGTAGCTCAACACAACTGCTACAAAAGTGGGTCATATTTGGTCGTATGCCAGTTTGCATTTGTCATATTTCTCTCGGATATTTTAGACTCATGACATCTGTTTGTCTTTGAAAATGCAGCTTCTCTATGTTTGACTCAATGCCATGACTTTTGAGATTGAACCCTTTGGAATTACCTTTATTAATGCATAATGCATCCATAAAATGTGGCCTGAATTAACACCAGAATCTGCAGCTCCCCTCCAGCTCATCGATCAGCTGCTCTCCTGCATGGTCCATAACTTCACTCTTGTGGTTCACTCTCACTGCTTCCAAAGCCTTGAGCATTTAACGGCTACAGAGCCAGATATTTCCCTCAGGGGTTGATGAAGAGCAGTATTTCCATGTTTCAGTGAATTTTACTCCAACTTTAGCGGCAGCTGGTTTGACTTTGGAGGAGCTAGTGAATGCTGGCTTGGCAGATGCATTGCCTGATGTCTCTGCATCTCCTCAGCCGACAGGTTGATGGTGGTTCGTCTCTTTCAAAGAGCTTAAATTAAGTGTGTCTTGATGCAACTTTGCATGCTACAACTGAAACAAATAATGCATTTTTAAAAGATAAACAACTTTGAAAAGATAAACAACATTTTAACACAGAAATAACACAACAACATTCAGATATGCATTTCTTGGACTGCACATGATTAAGAGACATTATTCTAACCTTAAATGTCAGTTTGTTTTTTGTGCGTGTGTGAGTGAATGTGTGCAAATATGGGTGTGTATATTTTGCAAACTACTGGACAATCAGCCTGATATTTTATGTGCACATTTATTAATGTATGCTCAAGGGCCTCTCATGGTTACAGTGATTCACAATAGCTTGTTTTATTGACTGTTTTATACCGTCATTGGCTGCAGAGTGACTGCAGAGTCACTACTCATTACTCCTAACTGGCTGGTAGGGGCTGCAAGTTTTCCCAGAAATCGACTCAGCTAAAAACACTAAGCCTGACCGTCTGTTGCAGGCCACATTTTGGTGTTTGTCATCACTCAAATACTGATATCCATAGAAATGTTTGGTCTCATTTTGAACCGGAGCGTCTAAAGTTGGGCACGATACAAGATGACTTAGACCCTGTTTTTGTCTCCACGACCACCTTGACTGCAAGGGAGCTGGAGGGGACAATTCCACTGGGCGCAGCTGCACAGCTGTCCGCTGAGGCCTGGTTTTGGTTTGTCCTCTACACCATGTCATGCCAAACTGGGTGCATTTTGGAAGCAAAGCGTTTTGCCTGCCCAATTCTGTAGACTTGATAATTTTGTTGATTGGGTAATTTTCCTTGTTATTTGTGCTTCCACCATAAGGTACTGTGAAGGCAACATAGTGAAATTGTCATTTCATTGTGTTTATTGTTGGTATTTCCTTCTTTGTTGTGCTGTAGCCTACAGACAAAGTTAATACTATTCAAAATCCAGTTATGAACCACAAGGACCAAAGATTTGTGGCTGTGTTTTAGTCACATGGCAGCACATCTGCTGGAACTACAAGAATTGTCCAGAGTGCCCACGATCAACTCGGGCAGCCTGAACACAGCTGCCTGATAGAGATCTGCACTCCAAGCAGTCAAAAAATAATTGTTACAGGTTTAAGTAATCTATCATTCAAGGTCAGTTGGACTGGAGAAAACAGGCTGTCGATTCCTAGCACACAAACCTCAGCATGAAACACTTTTTTTTTTCAGCTAGAGAAGTGAAGGTCAGAGTGGAGCCTTCACTGGGGAGTATAGCTGGTCCTGCCAGAAGCAGGCTAATAAGCTGAATCCCTCAGTTCACCTGCTTCCTCTCCTACATTTTCGCTTCCCAGCCCGGAGGGGGTTTCACACCCAGCTCAGTTTCTTCACTGTACACCTTGTAATGTATCCTACCCAGTGGTTCATCATTAAGCCTCGCTGATATTCTATCTTTATTATCTTATTCTCCACAATAAAAGGTGAAACTAACAGTGGGTGGGTACTTCTGGAGTTATGTGTTGTCTGTGCTGCCCTTGGTAAGCACTTTCTGTGGATGAGGCTACATTTCACTACCCCCCCCCCCCGAAGTGGATGGTGCTACATTATAGCGGGTAACCTAAAACGACACAAAGACTGCAGTAGTTAGCAAAACAATGGGACAGCTCAGGAAAAATGTTTGTGAATCCTTTGCGACCGAAGTGGACACATTCAGGTCCCCCTGTATATTACATTACATTTTGCCACTGCTTGCCGGCCTGACTTCATCCCTCTGCTGTCATAATAAGCTGATGAAGCAACTGGCAAATTCCTCATGTGATTTATAGGACCCTAACTACAGGCGTGTTTGTGCAACCTTTAATTACGCCCTGCTCTTCACCCTTCACTACAAAGGGTAAACCCTGTGTGTGTCCGGATAAAAAAGGAAGCAGCATCAAAGTAGCAATCCTGAAATTCACTATGCAGTCAAGATACCCTACTTCCTTTTCTGTTTTGTTTACGAGTAAAGACTCAGACCTGCATTGCTGTTGCTCTGAATAAATCAGGTCAAGCCTAGGATGGGGTGTTTTTTCACTTGAATTTGCAGATTATCTTGATACACCGACTTGCAGAGGAGAGTAGGAGGTTCAGTGGGAATTCTCTGCGCGGTTATAAAAATAACGACTAGCCCTTCCCTGATCGTATATAAGACAGCTGCATACGCTAGATGCCTGGGTGGTAAGAGACTTCAGAGGACATGTGCTTCACAACTCGGGGATGATGGCTGAGAGAAAGAGAGTGCATTCCTTATTTTCTTCTGCAGCTCCCACTGGCTCACATGTCATGTCTGAGAGATCAGCTGAAGGCGCTTTGATTGTGTTGACACATGGTGTGGACACATCAGTGCTTATCTTTCAAGGAGAAAGGCCTGTTACACTATTGTGTGGCAGGCGAAATGCTCAACTACACATGCTGAGGATAGACAACTTGATGATATTAGCTTGATTAACCAGGATTTGATTATGTCCATGTCCTATGAAGTGTAACCCAGGCTCTTATCAGTTTAGTGTGATAACAGGAGAGGGTTTAGGATTTATCACTGCGAGGAGACACTCGGGCTGGATCTAGCATAAATGTTTTCCAGCCCTGATAGCATTTTGGCCCAGGCTCTGTCTTGCAGCAACACGCCATGGTCCCTGACACAACGCTATCAGCCACGATGTAGTCACAGCGCACACAGTGCCAAGGTCACATCCTCACACATCGGCTTATGTCATCACTTAATCAAGGGATCAAGGGTGACAGCAACGCGGACACATGTTTATATTTAGGTGGTTGTACTGAGATATGAATTGAGACACTGAGCTGGAAGTATAGTGGTGTGTCATAGTTCAAAGTAAATACACAGGATCTTACTTTTGAGTCTCAATATGAATACATTTGCAGCAGTTTTTTCTCAAAATGACATTGTAGCTATGAGCTTTTTGTGTATTGTTTTTTTTACCCCAAAAAATGGTAGATTAAGTCACAAAGAAAACACATATAAAAACAACAACTTTGGAGGACATGCTGCACATAACTCCTGTTTAAGACAAGAGAGTCAGTTGGCTATTGAGTGTATTTTACAGGACAGCATGTTTTGTGTCAGAGTGTGAATTTATTTGACTTGGCTGCACTCAAACCAGTGGCTCTGGTTGGGATGGTTATGTGCAGGATAATGCAATGATTGGTTATTTTTTTCTTGTTGAAACTTTGTCCTCTGTAATAATTTCAGCAAATTGACATGTACAAAACAGTGAGGTAGTCCCATGCTTCAGTTTTAACCCTTTGAATATCAAGTTTTTAAACATTATTTGTGTCTTGTGTTAGTTCACAATGTTGAAAGATGAACTTCAATTCAGAATCAACAAGGGATGAGTGAGGATGGACTCAGATTTCACGAGCAAATTCATCATTTCATTTAGCTAAAACAATGAAGCAGGAAATGCTGATGAACTTCAACCCTAGTCGTTTCCTCTTTTACTCCACCTCTCCCAGTCATAGACCCATTTCGTCTTTTTTTAGGGGGGGCAGGGGATGTTTATGGGGAGATAGCAGGTCAGCAGCAGTACATGCCACATAGAAGTGGTTTACATCTGAAATAAGGGAACCTGAAGATTAATTTGAGATGTAGCTCAGCACTATGTGTGTTTGTAGTCATAAATATATCATAAACATTGTGTTTTGGTTAGGCACCTATTCAAAACTTGAGAGTTTAGTGTGTATAAGGGCTTAGTTAGAAAATTGCCATTTAAGTATCTCATGGTCATTCCCATGCTTAATTATGTCTCATAAATAATTCAGCAGTTTTTGGGTTGATACTTTTTGTCACACAGATTTAAGCCTTTCTGACCACTCATGACTTGATAGAAATGGTAAAAAATCTCTCCAAAATACGACGTTAAGACACCAAGACCTTGAAGGACACCATAGAAAAATCCATGCTGTGATTTGGTTTCAAAAACTTTTGACATTCGGAGATTTCTGTAAGAACTGGATTTTTTGGCGATTGGATGACCAGCACCTCTTTCCTGAAAACTGCGGAGAAACCCCTGTATTGTCGATATACCTATGAAAGTCATGCATCCTCTGGAAGATATGGATTGTGGAGTGTCTTGAGGTTGTGATTATCCTAGAGGTCACTGTAGGTCATTTTATACAATGAGGTCCGAATCCACAAGAGTCTCAGCTTTCCAGTCATACCCAATTTATACATTTCCAAGACTGTTTTGAAGAAATATTTTGATATGGAGAACTATTTAAATTCACCAAGCAAAATGACACATTTTTACTGCATGTAAAAAAAACTGCATGGGACTAGCACAACTTTAAAGGGAGGCCTTGTGGGAATCAATAGGACCCATTTTCATTGAGATATTTCGAGTTGACAGGTCAAGGAACACCTTTGAAAATGGCTTGCCAGTTTTCCCTTGCCAGATTTTTGCCTAACTTTGTAGCATTATTAAACCTTCATCCCAATAAGCTAGCATGACATGGTTGGTAACACTGGATTTATTAGGTCTTCTAGTTTTATATGACACCAGTATCTTAAGCTGTAGCTAGAGGTTAAATACAGTATGTGTGCACAATAGAGGCTTGTTGACTGAAATATATTTTTCTCATGTCAATGTAGAACTATAGTGTTCTTAAATCCTTTTGTTTTTTGTAAAAGTTTGTAATATCTTTCTCCATTTTAAGATCACAGACGTGTCCTTGCCAAACTACCTGGTGGCCTCCTCTGTGGGTCTCTTGCCCACTCAACTTCTCAACTCCTACCTGGGCACCACGCTTCGCACCATGGAGGACGTCATCGCTGAGCAGAGTGTCAGTGGCTACTTTGTATTCAGCCTCCAGGTGAGCAGTGGGTGACGATACATTTAGTGTGAAGACACTAATTTCTAAATGCCACAAAATAACCCTGAATTTCACTCTTGTGAAATGAAAGTTTGAAGTGAAATGTTTGGTTGGTGACTCAGTGCTTTTTTCATCTCCCATATATTCAGAGGTACATATTGTCTGTCAAATCTTATCCTAGTGCCGACATCTGCTCCTCTCTTAAGTCTTTAGTTACATGGACGTCCAGAGTGTGAACGCCATGCCTGATGTAGATATGCAAAACATGTCTACACTTGTGTTCAGCACTCCCAAAGGTCATTTGAAGCTGTCACCACTTCTCCAACACCTGTTCAGTTTCACTTAATCCTCACAAGTGCAAAGGCATCATGTTTTGTTTCTCAGTGCAACATTTGACAGGTTCACAGCGGTCAAGGGTCAGTTTCAGATTAAGTAGGTGTCAGCGTCTCATTCAGAACCCAAAGCTGTTGCTCTAAATTGACAACTGGCCTTAATCACACAGAAGCCTTTTCTAACACTGGTGGTGGGAAACTCCATCTGGACAAGTTGATAAAGCCCAGTTATCTCTTAGTGGTTTACCAGCTAGGATACACATCTTACATACTCACATTTATTTGTTAAATGACAAATAAGAACCAAACAGATATGAAGATTCTCAGCCAGGCCAGATGTTTCCAGTCTTTATGCTAAACTAGGCTAACCAGCTTCAGGTTAGCTTAAGCCTCTTTACCACTGGACAAAAAAACCCACTAACCCCTGCTAACATCTGACTCTTGTATTTAATGGGAAAGGTTCCAATCGGCATTCACTCCCAGGCCAGATAATTCTGTAGCAGTCACAGATATTTATCAGCCCCAGCTCCGATTGTCTTAAGTAGGCAGTGACGGAAATAAAACACCTGGGTGGATGCGCTAATTTTAGCCCCTCTGTCTGGGTGATGTAGTGGTGGGCCAACACAAAATACCATCCATCTCCATCCAAGCAGCGCTCAAACATCATTTAAAATGTGTTGGAACCAAGTTTGAGAGGCTGAATAAGTAAGAGAATTAAAAAATAAAAATTAAAAAAAGAACCACCATAACACTTTTGCTGGCCGCTGTGCTGCTTTCTACTGTTCTACCTGTTTTTCCAGCCCGTCCATGACATCAAGCCTGGCACGCAAAAACAAAACAACAGAAAGGAATACTTGTCAGCTGGAGAGCCATTAAACTGCTCTGATCTACTGCAATGGGAAAACAGTCTGTTGCCTATTTTTAATTGCTTTCCTGGCCTTTAAACAGCATGTATACACACGCTAATTTTTGGTGGAAGAAGGGTATTAGATACAGCTGGATACAGATGGTATTTCCCAAAATACCAAAATATGTTTGAAAGTTGGTATCAGAATGGGTATCAGGAGAGAAAAAATGGGATCAGTGCATCCCTACCTACCAAAATCAGTCACATATTTCTTGTTAGTAACTTACTAAGTAGCGAACTACCTTTTTAGCTTTATACAGGCAGTTTATCCTGAGATTTTGGATTAATTGTATAACTTCCAGGAGCTGTATATTCTGAGGTGTATAGTAGATACACCTCAGAATATAATGGAGTTCAGTTCACCACCACGACAGCTATTATGCAGCTATTCTAACCACAGCATTGTAACTTCCTCCTCTGCCCTCCACAGATCGTCATCAGCATTGGCCTGATGTTCTACGTCGTGCACCGGGCGCAGGTAGAGCTCAATGCAGCCATCGCTGCCTGCCAGATGGAGCTGAAGTCTTCGCACATGAACGGCTCCTCCACCAATCACAGTGGCTTCACCTACTGCAGCAAGAGAGCAACAGTCGGTGGTGGAAACTGCATTAACGTGGTGTGACCGTGAATCAACACACGAGGCAGCAGCTCGTACGACTAGTTCACCTAATTGTAGGACTTCCGAGCTCAAGGGAACAAGCTGAGTTTGGACGGTGTCTGAAATGTGTTGGTGGTGTGGTTTCTAATTTTCAACTTCATATTCTGACCACCCTTGTGCGAAAACCCCGAAAGGGTACATCTTTAGTTGGTACGGTGTTTTTGTGGGACCACGCACCTTTGAAGAAACGGTACTGATGGAAATTGCAGTACATCATCTTGGGAGGTTTTTTTTTTCTTTTGATTAAGGTACTTAACATTTTCTTAACTTAATTTACTCTGTTACAGGAGATGTCAATGAAATGATGTTTAGAGATATCAGAGGTGGCTGAATGAGTGAGTCATTAAGAACAATAGCTAGGCATTAACTGCCTGTTAACACTATGAATGTGCAATCTGGAGCTTTCTAGAGAACCAAGGAATTGTTTTTCCATTTCAGTGTCAAGAGAATGCCAACCTATGCACCTTTCTGTCATAATGCATCTGTTTTTGTTTACGTTAAGCGATTTATGATCTGTCTACATCCAGTGCTAACTCACAGTACAAATAAGGGCCTTATTAATATTTTTTGAAAGATTTGGCTTTTTAGTCCAGTTCATTTTTTAAGTGTCTTATTTTTGGACTATAGAGAGAAGGGGGGAAGAAGCTCTCAGCGAGCATTACTATGTGATTTCTGCTGGCTTACGACCACATCAGCTGAATTGGCCTTGTCTGCCTGGAGATCATTTTGGCGTTTCTGCAGTTTTGATAAGAGCAGCTGGGGAGGAGAGCAGATTTCACAGCAGGAAACTCAGGAATGTTTCTGCCAGGAAAGTTGAAGCGCGGCGTGATCAGCTCTTCGGTAGCACAGCCACATGTTCTGCTGCGGAAAGATTCCCACACCGAGCTGAAACTGAGATGTCAAGCTTTCCTGTAAATGTTTTTAATTCATTTGTAATTTTGTTTTGCATTTTTATTTGGCTGTGAGATTATCCATTAGGATTATTGCATAGTTTTTGCTTAAGATGGTAGTTTTGACAAATCTGTGCAATAGATCAGAGAACGGTGACAAACTGGCATGAATGTCGTATTTCAGTGCTGAAACCAAACTAATCAGAAATACTGTCGTGCATCAAAATAACACAAACTTAAGTCTGTGTTTCTTTATGGTTTTACCTGCTTTACATTATAGATGATGACTAAGCTAGATGAGATAAAGAGGCTGATATTTTTTATGTGCCATAATTTGATAAAGCTTATCAGACGCCATGACACTGGCCCCACCTGAACGGAGGCTACATGTGACTTATGACTGACTTTATTTTATTACCTAATGTTGCTAGTAATTACAGAAATGATCTGTGAACGATTTTTGTGTTTTAGCTCTTAATAGTCCAACAAAGCTCTCATGCTGTAGGTTCTCTTGCACAGTCCACTACAAACAGTATTTTCATACAGATAAAATTTGAAAGAGGTTTGGTTGGTCAGAAGTTGAAACCGACGTGTCTCAGAAGCCGACAATCAAACACAACACGGACACTTAAGTGATGAATGTGATAATACTTTTTATTTTTACATGAATTATTGTGATGCTGCTCCTCAGACAAAGTCTGATTGAGGAATAATAAGGGCTCCTATATGAAATATCCATCTTTATGTCCCTGTGTTTGTAATGCTGGCACCACCTCTTGTTTTTCATTTCAGTGTTTTGTACTAATGTTTTTTCTTTCTTTCTTCAAAGCCAGATGTAATGTTTGCCCTACACATTCCACGCTGTCAGTCCTCTTAAAAGCTGTAGAGTTATTTCCATGCTAAATGTTGGTTGAAAGGGCCCCTTCCTGTCTGAATTTAGCAATAATGTTTGAAAGTCAAAAGCAAAAAATGAATATATGATAGAAGTCCTACCAATAAGATCCGTTTCCAAGTGTTGGGAATAGTTGTTTACTTCTGATGTTAAAGATCCGCTTGTCAACATTTATTTTTCTGTCAAAAGTGAACAAAAACTACAGTTTTTAGTCGATCCATGTTCCACTGTAAGGTCGAGTATTAATATTCCCAGGTTTGTGTTTCAGTGTTCAACCTGCCTGTTACCTCCCGCTGCCTCTGATGGACATTTCTGCGCTGCCAATGATTTGAAAGAGACACATAAGCATCTGCGATCAGAACAGCTTGTTCAGATTTGTAGCACTTTCTTTGAAGGGTCCCTAATGGTATGTGTCCACAGGGGCGCTTTCCAGCATTGGGCACTTGATGGGTGTGCCAGTGGGCTTGTGGGCTGTCTGCCCCAAGATTTCAAACCAAACCAACCTGGCGGCTGGTTTGGAAACGTTCTCTCATGTCAAATGAGTTAAATGTGTTTCTGAAAACATTTGAGGCAAGAAATAAGCCATGTAGTTGCTGAATTTGTCTTCATTTAAGATCGACAACAGTTTTTTAAAAAGTTTTTTTGGGAGTTTTCAGACTGATTTGCATAAATTAGCCTAGATTCAACTTTATGCAAGTGAGGATCAGACACCCTGTCTCTTGAAACACAACACTGCGCTACCAGAATGCATTGCATGGCTTCTAGCATAGACAATGAATGGGAGGCAGGGAAATGAAAGATCCTGTGGACACGTACCATAAACATGTCATGTGAAAATCTTCTGAATCCGACCCCGACACATTTTCCAGTTTTTTACTTGAATTTAAAGTTTACGTAGAGAGAAAAATGAGTACTATTTTATGGCTGCAAGATTTATAATATCCACCCACTAATTCTCACTTTCTCATGTTTTAAAGGCATGGAAATTGTTTCACTGACAGCAGTGACATTTTTAGTTTCCACCCTCCAAACAAAGTGTCATTCAATAAGCTGTTCTGATCACAAGTGCAAAGGAAGTGGACATTACACCATGTTTAATGCAAAAATCAACACACTTCATAATATTTTAGTCTCTCAACTGGGATTTTGAAAACTTGACATCGTGGGGAGAATGAGCAGTTCTACAGTAAAGGCTTTGGTTCTTCCTAGGTGGGCTCAACTTAACTTAGATATAGTTATGCAACAACTGATTCCTAAGGGAAGTATATTTCATAGACACCCACACAAGACCTGAATCTGGGATATAACTGCACACCTGGACTGTTAAAGAGGAGTAGAGTGTGATATCATTAACTTTAAGGGTCACGTTAAGGGTCTTGTTTGGTGCTATGAAATGCAATACTTCCCATCTGTATCAAGTGCATTACACATATACTGTATTTTGTAATACAGAGAATTTTACAGTGTATAAATATTGATATTTATCGCTGTATGATGCTTGTTTAGTGTTATTTATGAGAGAGAGAAAATAAAACCTGTCAGACTTTGATACAACATTTTTGTTCTGGTTTTCTTTTACTCGCTCTTTTTATTACATATATTTTAAAATTCGCAGATTAATGACCGAAGTTACAATTTTAATTAACCCTTGTGCACCCCTCCAGAAAATGATGATGTTTTACCCTTTTCACTTTCTAAAAGTGCTTAAAAAATTGTTATATATGTGTATTTTTTTTTGCTTTAACTGCATTAAATCTTTTGACCAACCTCCTGATCATAACTATTAAATTTACATGTATTTGTTAAATCATTTTGAACGTTTAATGCCATTTTGGGAATATTAACCCACATATTTTAAATGATAAAAACACAAAATATGAAATATTTTCCGTAGAGACCTACTAAGTGAAAACTGGAATTTTTTGGGGGGATTATTACACCATTGGATATGTCAATAATTGACAATAACATTGATTTTAATGCATTATTTTTTTTTGAGCAGAGTGAGGTTTTTAAAAAAAAATGCCACTTTTAACCATTTATGCAAAAAATGCTCAGTTCCTAAAAAGTGTTTTGAATATTTCTTTTCACTTTCACTGCATTAAATCTTTTGACCAACTTCAGTCCTGATCATAACTATTACATTTACATGTATTTCTTAAATAATTTTAACCCTTTAATGCCATTTTGGGAATATTAACCAACATGTTTTAGAGTTAAGTAGTTGCTCTATGCAGATAACCCTGGAAATAAACGATAAAGGAATACTTCACCTGCTTAAGGACCAGCTCTCACAATGTGTGCAGAGTAAACCAGTTCTCACTGTTTTCAGTCTTCGCTAATGCAAATGGTGAAGTTCAATTAGTTTGCTGCTTCCTGTTTGGTCAGGAGAACCAGGCAGACAGTAAACATGGAGGGAATTCGGGGAGATGCAAGAAGGTGAACAAGTCTCAGCTGTCTTGTTCTGTGGAAAAGGAGGAAAACTGGTGGCGGAAACAAGAGTTGGTGTTAAACTCAGCATGTACTTGATCCGTCAACCAGCACTTGTTTTAGTGAGAAATCTTAATTTAGCAACAGTTCACCTCTCGTTCCCACAGTCTCCCCCCAGTGAAATAGCGTAGCTAAGCAACAGAGCCCCAAGTTAAGGCGACAAGTTTCAAAATGTAATGTTCTACGCAATTACAGTTTATCTTTATGGATTATATTAATGTAAAATTGACAAGAATACTGTCAACATATGATGCCCTTTATGTTTCTAGAGGTGTGTGTTTTTGTGGATGCATGAGGAATTGTTATGTCATATTTCTTAAAGGGAGTTTGGTGTAATATTTACCATCAGGAGCAGGATGGAAAATAATCCCAAAAGAAATCAAGTTATAGTGACTCTGCAAGATGCCCATTCTTTGCAAAATCTTATAGGTCTTCAGATGTGAGAGGCTGTCACACTTTAATTTTTTCAAAGTCTTCTAGTGTGTGATAGGCAGAAGTTGTGTGAGAGTTTGTAAGCAGATGTTTTGATATATTTTTGCTGTTGTTAAATGCTGTTGCCTATGACTTCAGTTCATCAAGAAATTTTGTTTCTTTTGGTTTTTCCATTCGCCATAGTGGCATGCAAGAAAGCCACATTTTTCTTTATGAATAACATGTCGAATGAGAAGCTTGATACGACTCTCATGTATTTACACTAAACATAAGGCTACAGATAAGTGATAGCAATATTTACATGAAAGCATGATCAACCATCTCATATAACTGTCTGTCAAAAAACAATGTAGTCGCAAGTGTATATCCCAAAATGTAAAGCTCCTGCTTTAATGTTTTATATCTAATGAACTCCTCTTTTTGTTTAATAATTTACAGCTGAGGAAACCTTATGTAATACTGAGTCAACACCTGTTCTTGTTTGCCATCGCTAAACTTTCTGTCAACCTTGTCATTTCAGATGGACCTCAGCAGCCTGAAGTAACTGGTGTCAGACTTCTCAACAGATGTTTTCACAGAAATCTGCTGCTGATTACATTTCAGCTCCGCACAATCTTTGTTGAGCTGCCACACATTTCAGAGAACCTTTCCCCTCCTTCACCACAAATCCTAGCGTGAATCCTTCAATATTACCTGGCTTCATCGTCAACCCTTTGAGAGTGAGGGCAGACAAAATGTTCTTGCTCTGAAGGTTTCCCCTTATCTTGCAAACCTCTAAATAACTGTCAGCACTCAAATATGCAGCAGAAGCAGCAGCGGCAGCACTGTACGGCCAGAAATAATGCCGGCTTCTGGGGCAGTTTGTCACAGCGATTTTGAAGGGAAGTAGTGATGGATGTGGCGGTGGTGATGTAGAGTGGAGCACCACTTACGCTTGCCCTTGCCTTGCCTGTGACAAGCTATCTGTGCAGGGGGGAGGTGGGTGTTTGTGTGGACAGTGTCTGACAGACATGGTCCAGATAGATCCTGCTTGTGAACAGTGCTGTGCCCCATGTACACACACACACACACACACATACATGCACACACACATACAGTGGGAAAGTTGCCCGCAGCCATCTGCTCACACCCCAAATACAACAAAAATACAAAAACCCGAAGAGAGGCCAGCCACAGTCTATCAATCAAACAGCAGCAGACCAGACTCCTCTTGCATTTTATTTCTCCATCTGTTACCAGGAGCTGCGGCACAGACCCGCTGATCTCTCCCGGGCTCGGGTCAGATCTGTGTCCGATCCATCATCATCCAACCCTGCCTCAAAGGACAAACCTCATCCCAGAGCCTCCCCGCCAGCGCGCGGATACGTCCACACAAAACCAAGAACATTCATTTTGACGGGCCTCAAATGAAAGCCCTAGTTCTCACTGAGGGCTACGCTTTAAGAGGAAAGCTCCAAAAATACATCTGTGAGGCTGTTGGTGCTTGAAAAAAAAATCTGAGTAAAATTATAAAAGGAAAAAAACAGGGTGAGTGAAATGATCTTGGAATACATCCACGCAGCCTTCCAGAGGGAAACTTATGGCGTGGATGTTTATGGATTTGTGGAGGAGGGAAATGCTGATAGGCCTCTGGCAGAGGGATCCTGCTCGAGGCAGACGGATAGATCACATGACCACTTTCTTGGCCCAGACAGCTGTTGCCGCCATCTGTACCATCCATGACCTGCTGCTGTTCTCCTCCTCCGTGCTGAAGTGGGAAACTGCTCAGTACACAAATAGGACAAAATAGTGCACCACTGAGGGACTGTGGAAAATAATTTGAGTCATATTTCTGACAATGATTTGATGTTCTTGATCCTGTACTGGCTTTCATCTGAAATCAGTTTATTATCTATTGTATATGCATGCTGGCCTTCAGTCTATTTAGTTATTTATTGGTTAATTGCATCACAATATTCTGGTCTATGTCAACAAAAAATGACAAATGCTTTAACGAAATTTAAAGGTCAAGTGTGAATCAAACTGGAAAAAATAAAAACAATCTGGTCCTACTTGGTTGTTGACTCACTTTCTGCCATTTATGATGTCATACTATACTATGACTTTTTTATGACATTTTTGATGACTCACTATACTATAACTTTTTTGTGATATTTTTGACAACGGACTATACTATGACATTTTTTATGACATTTTTGACAACATACTATACTATGACATTTTTATAATAATTTTGATGACATACTATACTATGACTTTTTTATGATATTTTTGAAGACACACTATACTATGACTTTTTTATGATATTTTTGAAGACACACTATACTATGACTTTTTTATGATATTTTTGACGACATACTGCGCTATGACTTTTTTATTATATTTTTGACGACATACTATACTATGACTTTTTTATGACATTTTTGACAACGGACTATACTATGACTTTTTTATGATATTTTTGAAGACACACTATACTATGACTTTTGTATGATATTTTTGACAACATATGGCACTATGACTTTTTTATGACATTTTTGACAACATACGGCACTACGAATTTTTTATATTTTGGACGACAAACCGCACTATGACTTTTTTATGATATTTTTGATGACATACTATACTATGACTTTTGTATGACCTTTTTGACAACATACTACACTATGACTTTTTTATGATTTTTTTGATGATATACTATACTATGACTTTTGTATGATATTTTTGACGACATACTACACTATGACTTTTTTATGATATTTTTGATGACATACTATACTATGACTTTTTTATGATATTTTTGACGACATACTATACTATGACATTTTTGACAACGGACTATACTATGACTTTTTATGACATTTTTGACGACATACTATACTATGACTTTTTTTTTATGATATTTTTGACAACATACTATACTATGACTTTTTTTATGATATTTTTGACGACATACTACACTATGACTTTTTTATGATATTTTTGATGACATACTATACTATGACTTCCCCAAACAAATCCCTGCTCCTTTGTTTCCTACCGGCCACACCCCTTCACCTGTGTGAAGCACACCTGAAGCCAGGTAACTCACAGGTGGCAACAAGATAAAGCAGGGGTGAGGAAGAGACACTGCAAGAGACATTGAGATTGTATTTGATTTTTTGAACTTATCACAAACAAAAAACAAAACCTAATGAGAAATCAATCAATCAATCAATCAATCAACATCTTAGGTAACAAAACAATGGTAAAAATAAACAATATCGCTGAACCTCAATATTAACTGTCTTCTCCTTTTTTTTTTTTTGTATTGGGCCAAAAATGGCCTTTGCATTTTCATTTTGTCTTACTCCACTGCTCTTAAAATTCTCTCCACTCCACCACACCCATCAATGTTCTAGTATGTAGTGATTGTGATGATCAATAAAGTGAAATGCATTGCCAGAGCTAGAGGTAGTACCCCTTTCACAGAGCGACCTACTGTTAGCACTACATCTTTGGATCATTTTTTTATATGTCCAAAAAAAGACAATAAATAATTATATCTGTATTTGTTTTGCAGCTGCATAAAAACTTGAAGGTTCAGTTCTAACTTTGTCCCATCCAATCAACAAAGCAAGCTGGAAAAAAAATGAGATAATTGTGTCAATTTGTGGCGCAGTGTGAGGTTGTATGAAAACAGTCAGGCTCAGATTTAAAAAAGAAAAAGAAAAAGAAAAAAAAGGAACACTCACTGAATGTGTTTGAGGCTTTAGGTGAACTCATTAGAGCTGGACGGACTTTGCTCATGTGTCCTTGCTAATCAGGAACCAGTGAGTGGGGATAAACGGGGGAGGGAGGCCTGTTCTGATGACGCCTGCTCCCAGGGAAGAGTCGCATCTGTGTTCCCTCCTAAGGTCAGCTCTTCTCCGCTCGCTGTGACTATGCTGTAAAAAACTGTGCTGTCTGCTCACCGAGCTAACATGAAAACACACTCTCAAATCTGAAGGGTGCATTACAGAAGGAGGTGAGGCAGACATCTTGACAGTGTGTTGGCAGAGACTGTGAGGACGAGGTTACATCTGGTTTTGGGGTAGAAGTAAGGTCATAATGTAGAACTGTAGATTATAGGTGCTATTAAATCATAATTTACATTATCATTCTCATAGGCCTTTTTACATGACACATTAGGAAAACTACAGGTGTAATTAATAATGTCAATAAATAATAGTACTAAACCAGCTGCAAATGCATCAACAATCCATTTCTTATTTGTCTGATGATTTGCTGTTGTGTCATGTTTTATGGACCTACAGCTTAAACTGCAGGTTTAATTCTTTGGAGTTACAATTCAGACTCAGACTGATTTTATTTATTTCATTGTAAATACTGAGCCTCTGGCTACCAGAAAATGTCATTTTTTTTAACAATTGCAATTCAACTCTGTAGTGCTCTCTAGTGGTCAGATGCCAATACTACACACACAGTGCTGCAAACTTTGATATTTTAACATTTATTGGTACATTCTACATTTATCTAACTTTTAAAAAAGAACAACTTGGGTAGAGACTTCAGCAAGAGAAACAAAATTAGAAGATAAGATTTACAGGTAACAAACCTCAGATGAGGTCAGAACATCTTTCACGGATAAAATGTTTCTGTGGTCTGAATCCAGCACTGACAAGATCCGCGCTGGGACTGTCAAACACACAAAACAAACTAGAGCAGTTGGTAGAAAACTGGCACATTTCAGGTTGTTTCGTGCATTTCTATGCAGCAGAGAAGCTACAGTAGATTCCCCAGTGATCACTAGTGAAGCGTTTACAGTCCAGCTTCTCCAGACCCACCAGGGCCATGTGGTCAGGGGCCAGGCATGGGACGCCGTCCTTGGTGGCTGGGCGGAGGTAGACCCGGTCAAAGCGGCAGCGGCTGATGTAAGGAACATTTTTGTTGCTGTTGGCTTTGGTATCCCATGTGTAGCGGCAGTGCTCTTGTTTTCCCAGTCGCTCCCACACGTCGCAGACACTGGGGGGCAGACCCACCTTGGCGACCTGAGACAGAGTCCAGGACAATAATTATTAAAGAGCTATGGGGGAAAACTGACAACCATAACTTGCCTGTTTTTAGCCATCACACATCATATTTTTTCAAGTCACACATAATATAAAGACTAGTGACTAACCTCAGTGTCCCTGAGGTTTGTGTCCCCTCCAAAGAGGACGGTGACATCGTCAGGAGCCTCCCTCATCCTTTGCATCACCACTCGCAGCTGTTTCATTCGCTCCCCTGCTTGGCCTTTACAGCTCTCCAGGTGGGACGTCATCAGACACAGCTTCTGGCCTTTAAAAGTCACCTGATTCCGCAAAGAAATACAACTTTGTAAGGTGAGCTCAACATGGCAGTGAGTATTTCAACAACTGTGTGTGCACGAACCTGAGCTACGAGCAGATTCCTCATCATTTGAGTAGTGGGGTAAGGTATTATCTCGCTCTCCACAAGCTTGACCCGCGACTTCTTGAGCATCATCCCAATGAAGTAATTATCTTCACCACCTGGTCAGCACAAGTCAAGAGGAGAGATAGTTTATACTATGGAGCTCACCCACAGTTTATCCCACATGCTGCAGGACACAGTGTACCGTACCTTCAATGATGAGGTAGCTGTCAGCCCGTTTCCTCAGGTACTGGACGTAAGGCGGAATGAGCTCCTGTAGGAACACCACGTCAGGAGTGTATCTACATGAAGACAAGATTCACCTTTTAAATACTATCAGCCTCTGCCTTTTACACACAGTGGCACCCCCAAATATTTTTCATTAGGGTGGCAAGATTGTACCTCTGAATATCTTAGACTGGCACACCAAAACCAAGAGCCATAACTGAATTTCAGGAATACGATTATGCTGTTGTAGTGCATGGGCTAGTAGAAGACTGTCAGTATTTTGAGATAAGAAATCACAACTGATATACTTTGGTTTCTTGTTTTACAGTTAGTATTAGTAATTATCTGAAATGTATGGACTAATCTGGTACATTTTGAGTTGTGTCATGTATCTCCATATACTTATGTTAGGCAATTCATTGTTCTTCAAATAGGCTGGCTGTCTTTTTCCTTTAAAAGACAAACATACAGCTTTAATTGAAAGAGTAAATTGATTGTAAGAAACAAAACATTTCCTGGGAAAAAGCCCTCTAATGTTCAGGGGAGACTTGTGGGCACCCATAGAACCCTGTTTCAGTCAGATATCTTGAGGTGAGAGCTCAAGGCACCCCTTTGAAAATTGCCATGCCATTTGTTCCCTACACATTATATCTCCACTTAAAAAGTTTGGATTGCTCACCACAAATAAAACATCAAGTGATGCCAATAAATAGTGTATACACACAAGCTTACAGGACTAAGTAGGAGCACAGGCCTCTGGCACGCTCTCCAAGGTTGTCTGTGTCAAGTCCATCCACGTTCCAGGAGATCAGCGACAGTTTATTGTCATCTTCTTCTGGGGGTTTGTGTGTGGAGGCTGGACTGTCTCCGGTCAAATCTATACTGGGAATTTTCAGAGACTGTTAATTAATATGGAACCTCACCACACACAGTTCCTTGGACAGCGACAAAGCAGGAGAGACTGCAGACTTACCACTCTCCTGGAGGTTTTTCTTCAATCTTATGCCTCTTCTTTTCGGGGCTGGCCTCACTGTCTGGAAAGTCTTCATCAAATGCCTTCTCTAAATCAGCCTCAAAGAATGAGTTTAAAGCTCTCTGAAAGACAAGTGATGGGAAAAGTTCATAAGGGCTAACTGCCTGAAAATGTTGATACCATTCATAACAGAATTAAACATTTATTAGCACTTTTTTATCCTCGGAAGCTGAACTATTCATCCCTATAAGATGCAGTAGTGTTGAACTGGACTATTAACTTGTCCTATTGGCTACCAGCTGTAGTATTATGTATCTAGCTGAAACAGTAACCTAGCTAAATGAGGGCTCATTTGTAGCTACTGTAAGTTACCTCCATCTCCCAGTCATTCTCAGCCAGGTAGCACTGAGCCACAGCGCTATCAGTTCCTGTTATCACAGCAAACTCATCGCAGAGGCGACTTCTGTCTTCTTCTACATTAGAAACAGGCCGTGTGTCCGCGTCAGATGTAGACGCCATCTTATCTAGCCGGTAGTTTAATTCCCAAAGTTACACAGGACATCAGATTTCGGTGCAAACATTTTTTTCTGAGCAAGTTATCGCGGGTGTACCAGTGAAAGACTTCCGGTTGAATCTGTTAACTACAACCGATCTCAACGCAGCAAACTGCACTTTGTTTGATTAAAAGTCAGCAACTCTAGTTTATATGTGCAGTTACTAATGAATATAGCCACATATTATTTTTATTTTGTGGCGCTGTTTAATTTCTTAACAGACTTTGCAACACATCTAACCGTGACGATGTTTAGCTAGCAGATTAGCTTCAAGTTTCACCCGGACGATTTATCGAACGCAACAATTTCCGGTACGACGTAAACAGAAGTTTGACATTGGCCACATTCATTAGCGTTAAATATGGCTTCAGTGTCTTTAAATACGGTGAAACAAATAATGAGAGCAATGGCGAAAACTCGAGGTTTCGACAGAGTCACAAGTAAGGTAAAGATACACCCTCTGCAACATTACGCAATCGTTTTATTCGTTTTTCTTTGTGAGTACACTTTGTACGTCACTTTTGAGCACAACGCGCTACCTCGAATTCCTGCACCGTCACAGCTGCTGCATGTGTTTCCCTCAGGTGGAGGTTTTGTCTGCCAGTCCGGGTAAGGTGGTGTGTGAGATGCGGGTGGACGAGGAGCACACCAACCGGGGAGGAACGCTTCACGGCGGGATGACAGCCACCCTGATCGATGACATCTCCACCTTGGCTATCATGTACAGTGAGAGGGGAGCTCCAGGAGTCAGTGTGGATATGAACATAACGTGAGTCTGTGAAAAGCTCAGAGGGGCTCCACTGGTGCTCACAAATCGTGGCATCACCTGTAGAATTTAAATGGACACTTGTGATGTCACAGGGTAGGACAATGAATGGGAGACTGATTTTGTGGACCCAATACCCAAATAAGCTTTTTGCTGTTGTAGTGTCCTCAGTTCTGAAATAGAAAACGTACCCATATACTGAGAACATTCCCCTGGGTGCTCTCGGTGTCATCGCTAACATCTTTCCCTGTTCACTGTGTATGGAGCAACATCAGACTTTGTACCCTGTGACATCAGAAATTTAAGTTTTAGCCCTCTAGCTTTCGGATTTGTTCATGTTTACTAATACGTTAGGACCGTTTTAGATAATAGGAATAACATGCATGATTTTTCAAAATGGGTGCAGCTTCTTAACGTGTAATAACATTTGATATCAGGCATGGCTGTAGCTAGAATTGTAGAAATACATCACCAAAAAGCTCTCTAAAATAGTTTAATTCTTCAGTTAACCGTCATATTTTTGTTGGCCTAAAGTGATAAAATGTATACATACTGAGTCTTAAAATACTTTAGCACATAAAGCACCATAAACATAAAGCAGTTAGCACATAAAATACCATAATGTGTACGTTTTTTGTGGCAGAATATGAACCAAATGTTTCTAAAATCCCTAAATGCTTCATAAGAATACAGAAGACATGATCTCTGTGTCTGATTTCAGGCCTTGACCTTCAGTGTTAACCAGATTGAAGATTAACTTCATAAACTGCAAATGACCGGCAACAAATGTCAATGTCTTACAGATACATGAATGCTGCCAAGATAGGAGAGGACATACTCATCACGGCTCAGGTGCTGAAGGCAGGACGGACGCTGGCGTTCGCCACAGTGGACCTCACCAATAAGGCAACAGGGAAGCTCATTGCACAGGGGAGACACACGAAACACCTTGGCAGCAGCTGAACTGTCTCCCACATGTGCCTGTCTGTATATAACATAAGTATACTGATGTCAGAACAAGGAAATGACTGGTGTTACCAGTCTGTTAGGTATTTGTCGTCATCAGTTAGACACTAACACCTTTAGGGACAAATCAGTCCTGACCTCACTATTGTATAAATTGTATTGTTTCATGCACATGCAATAAAACAAATAGACAAGTTATGCTTTCAGAATTTGCATTGTATTGGGATATGCTCAGCAGTATTGATTTGAGAATCAACAGAAAAAAACCCAGAAGTTACACGCCTTATACCCTTTCAACTGAACACACTGAATCAACAAGGAGCAAAATTATATGTACTATGTACTTCATATTCTTTTGACAAGCAAGCCTGCAAAACCCAATTTTAATTTGATGAGCATGGCAGCAAATTACCCTAATTTTAGTAGGTCAAATTAAACAAAAATCAGTAAGCTTTCAGCAACTTTTGTTAGGTATGTTAAACGTTAAGTAGGTCACCATGTCTCACCAACCCACATCCCAAGTAAAACAAAACATAAAACATCAGATTTCAGTAGCTCAAATGAACGGTGCATGAACGGCTTGAACGGTGACAATGGCCTTCAACATCCAACCAACATGTCTCAACTTTGTGTACAATGCCTTTCAAGTCACTCAAGATTTTAGCAAAGGCCTGCCTAGCATGTTTCAGAGAAAAGCAAATGACACCAAAACATTTTTTAAAAGTCCAGCAAAAAAACTAAGGCGGTTTTTAAGAAGCAATACCTACACCATATGATTTGACAAATATTGTTCATCTTGTTTTCTTTACTTATAAAGGTGTATTAACACCTATTCACACCTGTCCTTGGTCAAAAGATTGTGTAAAGTTGTTCTAGAACCCCCATTGACATTACATAACAAGCTTTAACAATCATTTCATATGACAACAAGGATATAAAACACGTCCGTCTGAGAACCACCGTGAAGACCTGTGTATTGTTTGTTCCTGTTTTGATGCAACATAAAGAGTTCCTTCAATGACCGGTGCTGTTGACAGTGCGGCTCCAAGAGAACAACCAACCACTCAAAATCAATGTTCGTGCAGGTTCAAATGAACAAAAAACGGATGAGTGAGTAGGAGGGAATGAAGAGGGAGTAAAAGAAAAAATGGGGGGGAACCAATCCAAAAATGGCAGAGAGAAGAGGAGGAACATTGGGAGCGTGAAAATAACAAGGATGGGAACTGAATCAGCTTCAGGTCAGGGAGGGGAGAACGAGTAGGTAACAAAAAAAAGGAGAGATCCAAGCACAAGTTCAAATCTTTTAAAAGGAAACGGGTGGAGATGAGTACATCATTTTGCTTTTGAAGGCTTAGGCAGGAGGGAGGGGAAGGGCTTTTCCCTATGTGGCTGGGTGATGCAGGAAGCCCTAATCAGGCATGTATGGGCGGAGGTGATCCTCGATGTCTCCCACACCCCAGCAGGTCAGCTGGTCCTGGGGCAAGTATAGGCAGAGGCTGCACAACTTGAACACTGTGGCCTTGGTTTTAGGAGTCTGCAAGAGAGGTGGACAGAGAACATTAGTGGTGAGGTGTGTGCTGGGACACTGTCTGATGTTTGATTTGATCAGATCAATGACATTATAATTAGTGGACTGACTCACCTGTAAGTGCTGTCTATCCATGAAGAGAAATACAGACTGAGTTGGGTTGTTCATGACCATTCCAGCCTTGTCTTTACGACTCAGAGCATGCAAGCACTGCTTCTCGTAGTCTCCATGATGAAATTCGAACTTGGCCTGTAAGTCAGAGGAAAAACTTGTGAGCCAAGACGCAGAAGTCCCGTTAACTGAATATTTTCCATCCCTGTTTGACAATGATAAAAAAAACCTGAAGGCTGCCTGTCATTTTGACAGATAAGAACACTGAGGGTAATATAAAGTAATTTAAGTAATTCACACCCCTTTCCAGTTTGTTGCATGTGCATATTAATTAGCTATTGTCTTGTCTTGGATTTCGCGTATATGACCTTATTGTCTAGCTGGCTTTAGCCAAAGAGGTTATCCCTTTGCTTTAGCCATTGCATTGGTAGGCTATATAGCTACATACCATTGCAAATCATCACTGCAGCTGAGAATCAAAATGTTCTCACAAACGGTCTCTAGTTTGGAGCTCACAGTCCTGCAGCAGTCTCATGATCAACAGAGCTAGAACAGGGTGAGGATGGGCCAAGAAAATTAATATTCTGCATGCAGCTTTACAATGACACAAGATTTTACTTATTTTAAATCTTAAAAGATTATAGAAGTCACGTTCAGCCATTCCTCCACAGCCAAGCCCCAAAAATTGAAAACAGAGGGCTTGATGTGGTGGAGAATGAAACAAGCAGGTTGCTACTGATAACATTTATCAGCTAAAGGTTAAATGACAGATAATAATAGATTATGACTGTCGATAGTAGATAGTTTAACACAACCTTTGCCATGAAGTACATTTTGTTACATCCAGACAAGGGCAGGATGATAACCCAATCACAATTAATTGCTAAATTAATATTTTTGATACTGGACAATGGGAAATGTCTACATTGTGAAAACTGAATTATTGCAGTATGCACAAAAAGATTATTTTCATTAAACAAAAACTGACAGTCATGTCTAAATATGATGATAAGTGTATTTTTTAGACATAACGATGAATGCCTTGCCAGAGAGCAGCTCTTTTGTTATTCTTCCTAGACTATTTTATACATGTAGACCTAAAACTTCTGGTTTTACTCTTGCTGAATTTTGCAGGGGGAGACAAACAAATCAATACTACTTCAAAATCGTCACCAAGCTTGAAAAAAAGTATAAGTTGTTGTAAACTGAGTATGAGTTTTATTTGTTTGGTTGAAATAGAACATTTGAATTAGTTTAATTGGACTGGCATTGGCCAAGCTCTGACCTGAACAGGCCTAAAGGGTTCATCATCGGCCCCCTTCCATCTGGAGAACAGCAGACAGACAATCTTCTCAATATCGTTGCGTGGCCAAAGCATGAAGTCCATCTCCTGTGTGCAGCCTATCACATCCTGTGAGAAGAGAGAACAGTGTGAAACACAACTGGATTTTCTTCTCCTCAAGCTATCCCTTCCCCCAAGATGGTTCACTCACTTACCCTTCGCATTGACTGGTATCGGGGGGCGTGTAGTTGCACAACATCTTTTTGCAGGAGTTCTATCGAACTCTCGAGAGAGTAGCTGGAATCTCGCACACCTCGTAAGATGTTTTCTTCATAGTTGTTGGTCATCACTGGCACCACTTCAGCTACCTCAAAAAGTGCAGACTTCTTCTTCTGTAATGACAAATCACAGATACAAAACACACGTTTTAAGTCATCATTTTGCTTTGATCGTATGAAAAAGAACAAATCTGGATCAGACAGTTAAACCTGTAATGAATACGCACTTAAGAAAATTACTTTAAAGTGTGAGAGATGAGTGTGATTTAAGATTGCGTCATAGATTACTGTATTCTTCCATTTCACTGACAAACCTTTTCTTTGAAAACGAAGGCTATATAAATCTTGAAGTCAAACTGATCAGCCAAAGACTCCCTTTTCTTCCGAAGTTGAGCTCGAAGTCGATTTCTTGTTTGATTTCTTCGTGAAGTTGGGTCCCCCATGGTTAGATTTTGATGGTAGTGTCTTCTTCTCTTGTGCAGAATATTTTGGCTACACTCTCTACTTTTGTATTTGTATGCTGGATAACGGATGGAGCTTGATACCCTTTGCAGAATTAACGCATCGAACAACTCTAGGCTAGATCTGTAAAATACCCACTAACTACCGACTGAGGAGGTCAACAAATCAGAAACAAAACTAAGTCATTTTTAATTTTTGTAAAAGGGCAGTGTTGAGGAGGGGAATGGTCGACAAGCTAAGACTACATCTCCGTATTACTTGTTCAGAAATCCATGTTTTAAGACATGACTTTTAAGCCAAATGATCTTTTTTTTCAACCTGCCATCGACAAGGGATTACAACAGAGATTTAAATGAAAGAGCAACTCAAATTTGACTAACTTTTCCTCTGAAAATGTTACTTAACTCAACAGAAATAGCTGCTACTGTAAAAACCCATACCGGCAATATATTTTTGCTAGTGAAATTGAGGACTACAGAGACTAGCAAGCAGACAAATATTCTATTATTGGGGTCATTTCAAAGTCCCTCATCCATGGCTATCCTTTTGTGTGTGTTTCTCTGTAGAGACTGCGTTATGTGCGTGTTACAGGCGGATTGGGGATACAGACGAACATGGCAGGTAAATACAGATGCCAGGAGATGTTGGCACCGGGTAACATCGAAGACTACTGCGAAAGTACCTTGACATTTCCTTGACTTTTACTGCCACTCATTTGGCCCACGGCCTGCGGTGCTGCCACTGCTGATAGTCATGATGTGGGCGTATTTTTAGCACACTAGCTAAGGTGAGCTAGCAAGCTAATCTAGGCTTTCACTTCCAACACTAACTAGTAGTGAACCAACGATATAGCTACATCTTATCTTCTGACTGATTGGCTTAATTGAGGCCTATGTGTGGTTGGCTAACTAGCGTACAGTCATCTTTCCACGCGTTTACATTTTCTCGCCAGGTTCAGTGCGACTGCCAGTGCTGTGAGAGTCAAGAGACCTGCAGGGTTGACCGACTAACTGGTTTTGCTTGTGCTCAGCATTTTAGCTAGGTATAATTTGCCTCAGTCGTGTCTTGTCAAGAACGTCGCGGACAAAAACCAGCTAGGGAATCGACAGCCAACCAACGACAAACGCTGAATGGCGAACGTTAGCTAGACAAAATCAGCCCTTTTCCGCGTCTGAAGTTTCGAGGTGTTTGCTGCGCTTGTTTTCTTTCTCTTCTTTTCTTCAGTCGTCACAACCCCCGACTCGCCCTGCTGCATGCCATGTCAAGATAAATCGACAATCCAGCTGAAATCCTCCGTTCTTTCAGTCGACATGTGGCGTGTTCTGTCTCCCGGCGGGCCCATATTTCACGGCGTGTCGTCCAACGTTTGTCCGTTTGGTTTCTTTGTGTGTTTTTGGGGGCAGCTGGTAATGGCACACGCAAGCTCGGCGATCCACAGCCTCCCCAAAATGGCTGCGCAGGCAACTACAAAGATGTGACGTAGGTTGACACGTGACCGCACGAGGCGAAAAACAACAGCGGCACATTCTCCGGAA